ATGTAAAGCTGAGGGCTAAAGCATTTGAATTCTTTTCAGGCGGTTTTGCTGTTTGTTCAGACTCAGTGCAAACCCTGGAGTTGCTCTATCAATAATTCTCTCCTCTAAATTCGCTCTCCGTGAGCGGAAAAGGGGGAACGGATGGGGATTGGTTTTGCTCTCAGCCAGATCATGAAAATGTCACCACGTCCTGGCCTGCTAGAGCTATCAGGAGGTGGAAATACCCTCCAGGGAATAAATTTGATGGCTTCTTTCTTGCTAGTTTGCTCCATTTCTTTTTCTTCCTTGGCAAAAAAAAATGACAAAGAGGTTGGATTTACTAAAAGAGAGTCCCAAGTGGGAGCAGGATTTCTTGCTGTGATTGTGTCAGCATCTCTGGGGGAAAGAGAGACGTGTTGTAGGACCTTCATACTGGGGTCTGTGGTGACTGGGAGATGGTGCTGGCTCTGACAATGGTTTTTGAAGCCCAAGAGCAAGTCGGTCAATTTGCATCTTATTTTTCACTTCTGTAAAATGACCAGCAAGGACAACCCAGTCCCACCAGTTAGTGGAAAAGACATAGAATCTTAGAATTGTCTGGGTGGGAAGGGACCTTTAAGATCATCAAGTCCAACCATCAACCCAACTCTGATAAAACCCATCACTAACCCATGTCTCTAAGCACTATGTCAACCCGGCTTTTAAATCCTTCCAGGGATGGTGCCTCAACCCCTTCCCTGGGCAGCCCATTCCAAGGCTTAAGAACCCTTTTAGGGTCAAAATTTTCCCCAATATCCATCTTAAACCTCCCCTGGTGCAACTTGAGGACGTTTCATCTTGTCCCATCACCTGTTCCTTGGGAGAAGTGTCCGACCCCCCCCTGGCTACACCCTCCTTTCAGGGAGTTGGAGAGAGCAATAAGGTCTCCCCTCAGCCTCCTTTTCTCCAGGCTGAACACCCCCAGCTCCCTCAGCCTCTCCTCATCTGACTTTATCTTATATATATTGGAGATTTATATATATATATATTCTCCTTATTTCTCAGTCTGCAAAAGGGGGCTGAAAATCACTGCTTTCTCCCGTCCTCTGAGTGCTGTGTTTACCTTGGAGGCCGTTTGGATTTGTCACCACCTTCCACCTCCAGGAAGACCTCTGCTGGTGCAGGAGGTGAGAAGAGCAGCGTGTTAACGCTGACGAGGAGGTGCAACGGGGGAATAACGCTGCTGCTCCGCGGTGAAGGCCTCGGGCAGATGTTGAACATCTGGAACGACATTCTGCATGATCCAAATGGGATTTGGAACTGCTGTTGTGCAGCTTCTTCACAAAACGCAGGTGTTTTGAACGTGGGTCCTGAATGTGAAATCACACTCTGTTCCCACCTCACCTCCTCTCCGTCGTGCCGAGGACCGGCTGCGGCCTCCAAATTTTCTGAAATTCAAGCAAAATGGAAACGGAGTGAAAAAAACCACGGGTGGATTTTTAGCACGTTGCTGGTGTCGGGTCTGATCAGGGGGAAATGTTCCATTTTGGTTACTTGAATGTGCAGAGGGGCTGGTATTGACGTAACTGCGAGCAGCAAACGTACTTTGGGCTTTATATAGGGTGGATCCATCCTGCAGACACAGATGGAAAAACTCACTTGGGCTGTCTCACCCGCTCTCTCAGCTGTCAGTGCAATTTTCCCCCTCAGCTACTATCTTTTCATGTGCTTTTTTACAGTAGAATTTTAAGCTTTGGCTCTCCGTCCTCTGGGTTAATCCTTTTTAATAAGCTTTTATTTAAAAAAACACTTTGAGATCTTCAGCGGTCAAAGCTATTTCCCAAATGGATTTAAGGCTTTGATTCCCTCTTGTTTCCTAAAACTAAGAGAAGGTGGAAGGAGCAGAGAAACAAGGTGTTCTCCAAGGCAGTGCTGCTCTGTAGCTCTGGATAAATGTGATTTCTCCATCAAATCCAGAGCTGGAAATATTTCACCAGGGGAAAAGTGAGTTTCAGGCTCTGGAAACCAGCCTGGGGAGGTCCTCGATGCACAGAGCCTCTGGTATTTTCCTGACAGCACGTAGTCAATAGCTGTGCAATATTTCAAGACAACCTGCCAACTGCAGGAGAAGCTCTTTGTGTTGCAAATGGACTTCCCAGACTCCACAGGAGGTGCAGGACTTTCCCCTCACATCAGACCCTCTGTCTGAGCACCTTAAAACATCTCAGATGTGACAAACGTGGGTATCGTGGTGCTTATTTTGATTTCTTGAGGCTCTAAGAGCTTTCAAAACCTGAGCCCAAACTGGGAGCCTTGTGTGAGTAGCCCCGTCCTACTGGGTAAATCACAACTCCCTGTTTTCCAGGGGGGATGTCTCAGGGATGCTCCAGCCAAATTGCTGGAGAGCTGAAGGTGAAAAGAGGAATCCGTGACCCTGGTTTGCTGTAAAACTGGGTGGTAACCATAGATGATAAAATATAATAATGTTAAAAAAGGAGGTGAGGGAGAAGATGGTGAGTCACCATCCCTGGATGGGTTTAAGAGCTGTTTAGATGCGGTGTTGGGGGATATGGTGTAGGGGAGAACTTTGTAGAGTAGGGTTGATGGTTGGACTCGATGATCCCAAGGGTCTTTTCCAACCTGAATGATTCTATGGAAAGAAAAGGAGCGGGGGGAAAAGCTTTAAGTGACTTGCCCAAGGCAGTGGGGGCAGAGCAGTGGCAGAGCTGTGGATGGAGGAAGATGAGGAGGAGATACCAGCCCTTACCCTGCCCAGCAGCTCGATCTCTGCTGTTGGTTTCCATTTCCCTGGGGTCTGTAAAACATCTCAGATGTGACAAACGTGGGTATCGTGGTGCTTATTTTGATTTCTTGAGGCTCTAAGAGCTTTCAAAACCTGAGCCCAAACTGGGAGCCTTGTGTGAGTAGCCCCGTCCTACTGGGTAAATCACAACTCCCTGTTTTCCAGGGGGGATGTCTCAGGGATTCTCCAGCCAAGTTGCTGGAGGACTGAAGATGAGGAATCTGTGACCCTGGTTTGCTGTAAAACTGGGTGGTAACCGTAGATGATAAAATATAATGATGTTAAAAAAGGAGGTGAGGGAGAAGATGGTGAGTCACCATCCCTGAATGTGTTTAAGAGCCATTTAGATGCGGTGTTGGGGGGTATGGTGTAGGGGAGAACTTTGTAGAGTAGGGTTGATGGTTGGACTCGATGATCCCAAGGGTCTTTTCCAACCTGAATGATTCTATGAAAATAAAAGGAGCGGGGGGAAAAGCTTTAAGTGACTTGCCCAAGGCAGTGGGGGCAGAGCAGTGGCAGAGCTGTGGATGGAGGAAGATGAGGAGGAGATACCAGCCCTTACCCTGCCCAGCAGCTCGATCTCTGCTGTTGGTTTCCATTTCCCTGGGGTCTGGTAGTGGCATCAGTGTTGGTGAAGCAGCTGGAGACTGGAGGTGCCACGTGGAATTTGCAGGACTCAGCATGTCCTGCTGTGATCTCCCCGACTTCTTCAACGTGCCGCTGGTGGGGAACCAGAGCCTGTTGTCTCTTTAAAGCTCTGGGCATTTTTCTCTTTCCAAGTGATTGAATTTGAGCGAGGGGAGGGGAGGATTCCTCAGTTCTGATGTAACTGTTAGCAAAACCACGTGGTTCTGCTACATTTTTTGACAAGGAAAAAGGTCTCCTTGGAAGCAAGTTATAAAATTTTCAGTAGCTCTTTTGTAACTGCTTGCCACAGCGGATATTTTCCAGTCGGGCTTTGCTTTTTGGGCTTAGGTCCCCGTGAGGTTTGTTTGTGCAGCGGCCTCACGTAGGCTCCAAATGTGAAATCCATTCCACCTTCATGACTCATTTGCTGTCCCGAGTAACGCTTCAGCCGGAGGAGGAACTCGGCTCCTGGAAGTGGGGAAATGTTGGTGTCAGCACATTGGGATCCCAGATTTCCCTGCCCGGTGGCTGGTGAGAGCCCCGGTGGCTAATGAGAGCCCTGGTGGCTAATGAGAGCCCCAGCATCCCTCCCTGCCTGCTCCCACTTCCCTCTGCCCTGATGGTGTTAAGAGAATGGTGAAGAACGGCTGGAGAGCAACCCCAGGAGAAGGACCTGGGGGGTGTTGGTGGATGAGAAGCTCCACACACCCCAGCAACGTGGGCTGGAGCCCAGAAAGCCCCCCCAGCACCCTGGGCTGCATCCCCAGCCCCATGGCCAGCAGGGCCAGGGGGGGATTCTGCCCCTCTTCTCTGCTCTGGGGAGACAGCCCCCACCAAGTGCTGCCTCCAGTTCTGGGGCCACCAACAGCAGAAGGGCATGGAGCTGTTGGAGTGGGACCAGAGGAGGCCCCGGAGATGCTGGGAGGGCTGGAGCCCCTCTGCTGGGAGGGGGGGCTGAGAGAGTTGGGGGGGTTCAGCCTGGAGAAGAGAAGGCTCCAGGGAGACCTTGGAGCCCCTTCCAGTCCCTCAAGGGGCTCCAGGAGAGATGGGGAGGGACTCTGGATGAGGGAGGGGAGCCATAGGATGAAGGTTGATGGTTTCTTGAATCCCTGGAGGGGTTCAAGGGCAGGTTGGAGGGGGCTTGGAGCAACCTGGGCTGGTGGGAGGTGTCCCTGCCCAGGGCAGGAGGTGGCACTGGGTGGTCTTCAAGGTTCCTTCCAACCCAAACCAATTCTATGATCCTAAGGTGGCCTGAGCAAAGCTGAGCTCCGTTCACTTCCATAGCAGCTGAGACTAAATGAAGGTCTCTGTGCTCCTGAAACACACACTTCAATGAATTTTAGTAACAAAGGAGATTTATGACATAGCCAGTTGTAAAATAATGCTCTTTTATTTTTTATTTTTTTTTTAATGAGAAAAGCATCCTCTTTCACAGGATGAATCCACAGAAGGTGAAACAATTTATTTGCTCCCCTGTTGTGTCCCTTTCTTTCTGCCTCCCTCTGTTCACCCATAACCCTGAGCAGAAGTGGGTTTTATTCCCCACCTCGAAGCCACCACAACCAGTTTCCTCCCCAAATTGGCCTCATTTGTGTTTCTTTCATGCTTCCAGAACATGAACATCCAGGTGGAGGACATAAGGATCCGCGCCATCCTCGCCACCTACCGCAAGCGGGTGCCCGTCACCGAGGGTTACGTGGAGGTGAAGGACCAAGGGACCTGGAAGCAGATCTGTGACAAGCACTGGACCATGAAGAATTCCCGAGTCGTCTGTGGCATGTTTGGATTTCCCAGCGAGAGGAAATACAACACCAACGTCTACAAGTAAGAGCAGAGCTTTGTAGGAGACACCGGCGCGTTGCTTTGAACACTCGGGGCCTTGTTCAAAAAATGCAAATTGTCAAATGACACTGGAGACCTTGAGGTAGGAAAAAAAACCTCCAACCCCCTTCATTCCTTCAGATCAGATTTTCCTTCTGTGTAAATATTTGAAATGTCAAGAATTTCCTTGTGCAGATGGAGGGGGGGGGAGTTGTTTGGTCCTCACCCTTCTGGCTGAAGACCTGGTGCAGTATCAATTGTGGTGGTTGATAGGTTCTATAGGAGGAGAATGTGGTCAATCAGACCAAGAAATCTCCTTTATTTCTAGCTATAGCCTAGTCATTTCCTTCCCCAGCGATGGGTGTAGGCTCTGTTTCATGTGCAGGATGGTATTTGCCCAGTTAAACCTCCCAGCTGTGGGCAAATCTAACCCCTTCCCCATCCCTCTGCAGGAAGGGAGCTGTGGGCTCAGAGCTGGTACGTGCTGAAAGCTCCAACTGAGAAATCTTGGAATAAACCAGGTCTTTGTTGTGCTTCGTTGCCCAGGTTCCTCCTTCCCCACTGCTGATGACAATTCCTGGTCTCACACCTCTCCTGACACGTTCACCAACCTTTACCAACTGCTCTGGCTCTCACCAAGGTCCCTGGGTGCTGCCAAATCACCCACCAAGGAGCCCTCTACCCGGGGGGGAATATTTCTCAGTAATTCTCCCACTGTTGTTAACCCCAGTTCAGGTCTTTTGGCACTGGTAATTCCTCCCTGGGCTGGAAGAGCTGCCAGCTCTCTCCAACTGTTCATTAGTGCCTGCTCTGAGCTAAAAATGCCAGGGGAGCATCCATCCTGCTCCTCCCAGCATCACCTCTGCCTCCTCGTCCTTGTAGAAGGATGCAGTTTGGGGCAGTTGTGATTTCAGTCCTGCTGAAATTATAGATTGCTTTAAAACAAGGGATGAAAACAGTGATCCATCAGGAGAATGTTGTATCTAAATTTTTGTGTCTTTCAGAGTTTCTGAAAAGCCAGGAGCTCTGGTCTTGTCTGTTATCGTTTCTGCAGCTTGAGTTTCATCCCCAGCCTTCATCACAGACGTGGTTCTTCCTCCACTGTTCCCTAGAAATAACACCCTAAAGCAGATGCAGAACAGTTTAAGCGAAACCCTGTCTTGTTTCTTTCCTACACCGTGACCTATGGAGTGGGAAAGTGTCAACTGGTGGGGAGGAGAACCCAATCCTCCAGGCAGGAGTTGTGGTTTTCCTGCCGGCTCCTTTTGGCCCGTGCTAATTGCTATTTCTGAGAGCTCCCTCTGGAAGGGGCTGGCCCCGGTTCATTTCTGTCATTAGCAAGATGGTGATCAATTGAAAGAGGTCCTGGGGTTGGAATAGCAGAAAAGCCACATCGCAGCACAAAGAATATGAAATGAATAACCCGAGTGAAATCCTGTTTTCGGGCTTCCCAGGGAGAGGAGGGAGGGAGAGGGAGAGCAATCAATAATTGCTACCAGGCAGTCTCAAATTTTGCCCTGAGACCAGGGCAAAATTAGAGGAATGTTTGCTCCCATCCATGCAGCTTTTCTCCCTCTAACTCAGCTCTGAGATTCCCATTCCCTGCATCCAAGCAGGAGGGTGAAATAAATTACCTCGAGTAAGACAAAGTAGGGTTTTTTTTCTTCTTTCTTTTTCCTGCTTCGCAGCTGTGTTTCCAAGAAAAGTATTAACTTCAGCAGCTGGAGCCATCTGCCTGAAATAAAAGGGTGCTGGGTAATTGGCCTGTCTCTTGCCGTGGTGCACGTAGGGATGGAAAAACTGAAGCACAGTTGGTCAGCAAAAATATTCAGCAATGTTGAAAATCCCATTCACCGGAGCTGGAGTGATGAATATGCAGTGCTTACAAATACCAGGCTTTGGAGATCTTGGCTCCCCCAGCCAGACACGTTGCTGAAGTAGCCACAGTTCCCTCAGACCTCGTCTCGTTTTGGGCTCCTGCACCCCAGGAAAGCTATTTTGGAAAATATGCTGAGTATTATCTGGGTCAGAAGAGGACGGGATGGCGTTTTATTGGAGGGAAGAGACTTGTAAAACTTTGTCGGCTGGACAAAGCATAGTTTAAAAAGCTTTGTTGTTTCTTGGGGCTTTTTGCCTTTGTGCTTTGGGTAGATACATCACACACACCCAGCGTTGCTGGTGAGGGAAACCTCCCAGTTCTGGGCTGGGAACTTCACAAAATGATCTTTCCTTCTCGATGGAGGCACTGGAGTGACATCTCCTGCCATCTGCTCACCTGGGCCATGAGAGCATTGCTCTCTGCTTGTCCCTCGTGCTTTTCCATCACATCCCCTCTTGGGGAGGGAAGAGTCTCATCTCTGGGGGGTCACCTGTACCAAGCCCTTTCTCTGTGGGAAGCCTCAGAAACATTCTTCTCATTTCTTGGGCTTTTGCTCACCCTAATTTTTAAATATCATTCTCCTTTCCCCTTCCACAACTGGGTTTGGGTTTCTGGTGGCCAGGGCTGTGAATGTCCCCTTCCCACATCCCACCAGTCCTTCTCCCAGCAAAGTCCAGCTTTCCTGGCCGAGCTGGAGCTCTGTGCTGCTGCTGCTGCTGCACAATGGTGGGAGGTGAAATGATTTGCAGATGGATCTTGCTTGAAAGAAAACAACTTAGTTCATTGTTGTCCCGGTGCCAGGGTTTTATTCCTGAATGTGACTCGGGCTCTGCAGTTGACAGCACGATTTATGTTCGGAAACGAAACGAATCTCAATGTTGTTTCCATGTTCTTGTTCATTCTTCAAAGTGATTTTTATATAAGGCACTGCTTCTTAACTCCTCCTCCCCGTTCCTGCTCGGCTTGGGAAAGCAGAGTAGAATTAAATGTGTTTGGCTGGTGGGGAGAGGAGAAGTTTGTGACCGGAGATGCCCGAGGCAGAGAGAGGGACCTGATGCCTTCCTGAGACCTCACAACTTTGGGATTTAGCAAAGAATGGGATGGAGAAGCTCAGCAATTCCAGGGTACTTTGTTCAATGTCAGTCCAAACAGTATCTCCCAGTTTAACCAGTCTTATTGTAGCATTATGAATCTGGTCAGGTCTGTAGGGTGGGTAATCACTTCTGTGTTTGTGATAGAAGTCCTCATGGTGTGGGTCCTCCTCAGCAGAGCCAGGATTGTAAGGGCTTTGGAGGAAGGTGGCAGGTCTGGCTTCTCTTCTGCCTCCCTGGGGCTGGAGACAGCAAATCTGTTAACTTCAGGTAATGCTTGAACAATTTAGCAAGAGACACCCCTGCAGAGGAGCTCACCAGCTTCCATCCGGTGTGTTAGGGGTGATTTTTCCCTGTCACTTCTGGGTGTAATCATTTATTTTCTCTTCTTGAGTCCTCTCAGATGCATTCTTACCTAGCAACACACCTTCAGCTAAACCCTCATCTGCTTCCCACAGCCCTTTGGGCTTAGGTTTGTGTGATGAAGGTCCATCTCTCCTCACCAGTAGAGAGGGTTTGGACTCCAACTTGACCTAAGAGTCACAGCGTGACCATCCTCTCACACCTCTGATCTCAGCAGCGTTGCTCTTGGCTTGCACCAAGGCCAGTGAGAGGTGGGTTGCACCCTTTTTGGGTTAAAAAGTAAATAACGAGAATGCCCTGAGTTTCTATCTGTGGAGATCATCTGAATTCTGCTTTTTTTTAATATTTTTTTTTTTAAATATATTCAGTCTGGGGAAACGAGGTGGGACTTTCTCTGGCTGTTTCCCCCCAGCCTACCGAAGGCTGCTAATGCCAACCAGATGTTAAAGCCTCATGAAATTTCCAGGCTGAGGTCATTGTTTGCTATTCTAAGGCATCCCATTATTATTATTATTTTTTAAATATATTCGGTCTGGGGAAACGAGGTGGGACTTTCTCTGGCTGTTTCCCCCCAGCCTACCGAAGGCTGCTAATGCCAAACAGATGTTAAAGCCTCATGAAATTTCCAGGCTGAGGTCATTGTTTGCTATTATAAGGCATCCCCATAATTACTTCTCAAAGGCAGTTCCTTGCCTGCTTTTGGAGTTCACCGACCTCCCCGCACGCGTCTGCGGAGGGCCCTCGGTGAGGATACTCCTTCAGGTTCTCACCTCCACGCCAAGGAGTGAGAGGGTGGTGGGACAAGAGCTGGAGGAGAGGATGGTTATCCAGCATTGGAATGGGCTGCCCAGGCTGTTTCCCCCCAGCCTACCGAAGGCTGCTAATGCCAAACAGATGTTAAAGCCTCATGAAATTTCCAGGCTGAGGTCATTGTTTGCTATTATAAGGCATCCCCATAATTACTTCTCAAAGGCAGTTCCTTGCCTGCTTTTGGAGTTCACCGACCTCCCCGCACGCGTCTGCGGAGGGCCCTCGGTGAGGATACTCCTTCAGGTTCTCACCTCCACGCCAAGGAGTGAGAGGGTGGTGGGACAGAGCTGGAGGAGAGGATGGAGCAGCATCACCAAACACAGGCGCCTCTGGATGCTTCCCAGCCTGAAACGTTTGCCTGAATCTGCCCCAATCTGCCCCAATCTGCAGCCCAAGGGAGCAGTCACTGTTCAAGGGGGACCGTGGCAGCATCACCAAACACAGGCACCTCTGGATGCTTCCCAGCCTGAAACGTTTGCCTGAATCTGCCCCAATCTGCCCCAATCTGCAGCCCAAGGGAGCAGTCACTGTTCAAGGGGGACCGTGGTGCTGAGCTCCAGCAACCCAAGGGCAGGAGCTTTGGTGGCTTTTTGGTAGATATCTATTATCCTGGGTAGTTTAATTAAAAAGAAGAAAAATCTTCAAGGTTTAGGTCCACGTTGAACCAGATGTTCTGGCCGAGAAGTATCAGGCACTTTCTTTCTGCCTCCATCCTCCCTGGTTTTACTTTTATTTTTTTAAATTCCCCCTTCCTCTTTCCCACCCATTTTCTCTTGAGTCAGGGTCGCTGACAGCTCTGGTTTGCCAGATTTGGAGTTTGATGGTCGGTGTTTCACCCACAGGTGGTGCTGGGATGGATCTGCCCCATCTTCCCTCCTCTCCAGCACCGCGTTTTCTCCCCGGCACGTGTTGCGATCGCATCTCTCCCTCCAGCCCGGCTCTGCTTGGCTCTCACCCCAACCCAGAGAAACAAAACGTGGTCCCAGAAAGAATTAGTCAGTGGCCTCGAGCCATATGAGCCTGGACAACCGCTGAGCTTGTCGGCAAAGCTTGGCCAGCAGAAGAGGAGATGATAGTCCCCTCGAGCATCTGCGACGGCACAAATTAGCCCACGCGGGACCACCAAAGGGGGCTCAGCTGGGATAAAGCTTGACCTCACCGCTTGAGTTTCAAACAAACAACCTACAAAAGGCTCCTTTGTCCCTTTACCTGCTCCCCATCAGACTCTCTGTCCTGCAGGGACCTGCTAGAGTTAATCAGAATCAGTTCCTTCCGCCTTTCCGTGCCGTTTATCGCAGCCTTGGATCGCCGGGGCTGGATGGCAGCTACTCCTGGAATAGGGAGCAGCACCAGGATCTCCCAAAGCCACGTCGAGATCCCAGCAGGGCGTTGACTCCTCAGCTCTTTGCCTTTTTTTTTTCTTTTCCTAACTTAACTTCTCACATCTCCCTTTTGATAATGACCTGACCTATATTTTCCTTCCCTCGCCTCCTTTAGCTCCGCCGCGGTCGGCCACCAGCCTCGCGGCGCGGTTCGGATGAAGCTGGAGATGACTTTTCTTCTCTGGTTTATCACACACGTGCCCCACACGTCCCCCCCTTTAGGGGGGGAGTCCCTGGAGCAGCTCCAGGCCAGTTGCTCGGGTTTGGGAAGCAAGAAGCAGAAACTGCTGCCAATCTCCTGCGCTGCGAACACGCCGGCGGGGGAATTGCTCTCGCTCTCGGAAATTGCTTTCAGGCTCAGGGTTGTTAACTCTGCAGTTTTCACTGAATTTCACTGAATTTTAAAGTTGGAAGGGACCATAGAGATCATCTAGTCCAACTCCCCTGCTGAAGCAGGATTGCCTAGAGCTTGTCAGAGCATGTTACTCAGGAGCATCCAGGCGGGTCTTGAAAATCTCCAAGGAAGGGGACTCCACACCCTCCCTGGGCAGCCTGTTCCAGGGCTCTGTCACCCTCACCGTGAAGAAGTTTCTCCTCATGTTTGAGTGGAACCTCTTATGTTCCAACTTGTGCCCGTTGCCCCTCGTCCTCTCACTGGGAACCACTGAGAAGAGTCTGGCTCCCTCCTCCTTCAACCCTCCCTTGAGATACCTGTAGTTTGGGGAGAAGCCCGGAGAGCCAGGGGGTTTTCCCAATCTTTTTTCCCCCCCCCCCGATCTTCTCGCAGCTGATGGGTGATGGCCAGAGAAGAGAACAGCTCGTTTACAGGAGAGGGCTTTTGGGAGCCAAACCCACTGGTGTTATTCATCCAGGCTCTGTTTGTACACTGCTTTTTGAATTAATTGATCTCCAACCCCTGCAGAGTGTAGGGAGCTCTGTGTGTCTCCTTCCAGTGCGTGGTTGTTTCTTCGGGCTGCACCGTTGATTCACACTCTGCTCTTTAGCTTAAGGAGGTCACCTCTTTGCTCCTCACAGAGAGACCTTGTGTGTGTGAATGGATCAGCCTTCAAATAATGCTGTTCAATCCACGTTTTATTTCAAGGTGCTTTTTTTTCCCCAAAAAGCCACATCAGTGAAGTTTTTTATGGATCACGGAATGACATGGGGTTGGAAGGGACCTCTGGAGATCATCTTCTCCAACCCCCTGCCAGAGCAGGGCCACCCAGAGCAGGTCCCACAGGAACGTGTCCAGGGGGGGTTGGAATGTCTCCAGAGAAGGAGACCCCACCACCTCTCTGGGCAGCCTCTGCCAGGGCTCTGCCACCCTCAAAGTGAAGAAGTTCCTCCTCATCTTTAGGTGGAACTTCTTATATTCAAGTTTGTGCCCATTCCCTCTTGTCCTGTCCCTGGGCACCACTGAAAAAAGACCAGCCCCATCCTCCTGACACCCACCCTTTCAGTATTTATAGGTGTTGACCACATCCCCCCTCAGCTTTTTCTTCTCCACACTAAAAAACCCCAAGTCCCTCAGCCTTTCCTTGTAAGAGAGGTGCTCCAGGCCCCTAGTCAGAATTCCTAACTTCTATTTTCCTGTTCCCTTTTACTCCTTGAAGGATGTTTGCCAGCAGAAGGAAGCAGCATTACTGGCCTTACTCAATGGACTGCAGTGGGAACGAAGCTCACATCTCCAGCTGCAAACTGGGCAATCACCTCAACGTGGACGTGGAGAAGAACGCGACGTGTGAGAACGGGATGCCTGCGGTGGTCAGCTGTGTCCCCGGACGTGCCTTTGCCCCCAGCAGCCACAGTGGCTTCCGAAAAGCCTTCAGGCAGGAGGTGAGTGGGGAGATAACACAACCCAGGAAAAGCCTGGGGGTGGAATTGTTAGAATGGTCCAGGTTGGAAGGGACCTTTCAGATCATCGAGTCCAACCATCAGCCCAACACTGACAGAATGCACCACTAAACCATGTCCCTCAGCACCACGTCTGTCCAGCTTTTAAATCCCTCCAGGGATGGCGACTCCACCACTGCCCTGGGCAGCCTCTTCCAAGGCTTCACAATCCTTTTGGTGAAGAATCTTTTCCCCAATATCCATCCTAAACCTCCCCTGGCACAACTTGAGGCCGTTTCCTCTTGTCCCATTGACTCTTCCTTGGGAGAAGAGTCCGACCCCCACTGGCTACACCCTCCTTTCAGGGAGTTGGAGAGAATGAGAAGGTCTCCCCTCAGCCTCCTCTTCTCCAGGCTGAACCCCCCCCAGCTCCCTCAGCCTCTCCTCACAAGACTTGTGCCCCAGACCCCTCACCAGCTCCGTTGTCCTTCACCATCATCAGCTGTGGGACCTGAACACGTGTATCTGTAGCCACAAACCAACCCATTGTGCAAATTTTCATAGAATCATAGAATAGTTTGGGTTGGAAGTGACCTTAAAGATCATCTCTTTCCCTCTTTGTATTCTTTTCTGACCACGAGCCCGGCTGAATTTCCATCCTCACAAGAACATAGTACCTTCTCTCCATGCACCACATCTGTCCAGCTTTTAAATCTCTCCAGGGATGGCGACTCCACCACTGCCCTGGGCAGCCTCTTCCAAGGCTTCACAATCCTTTTGGTGAAGAATCTTTTCCCCAATATCCATCCTAAACCTCCCCTGGCACAACTTGAGGCCGTTTCCTCTTGTCCCATCGCCTCTTCCTTGGGAGAATAGACCGACCCCAACCTCTCTACACCCTCCTTTCAGGGAGTTGGAGAGAATGAGAAGGTCTCCCCTCAGCCTCCTCTTCTCCAGGCTGAACACCCCCAGCTCCCTCAGCCTCTCCTCACAAGACTTGTGCCCCAGACCCCTCACCAGCTCCGTTGTCCTTCACCATCATCAGCTGTGGGGCCTGAACACGTCTATCTGTAGCCACAAACCAACCCATTGTGCCAATTTTCATAGAATCATAGAATACTTTGGGTTGGAAGCGACCTTAAAGATCATCTCTTTCCCTCTTTATATTCCTTTCTGACCACGAGCCCGGCTGAATTTCCATCCTCACAAGAACATAGTACCTTCTCTCCATTATCTCGAGGCTGGCTCTCCTTGCTGCAGCTGCAGCTTGCTGGAGCAAGTAGTAAAAAAAAAAAAAAAAAGAAATAAATAATACATTTATCATGTTTCTGTTTGAGCTGTTCTGTGCAGGCCAATTGAATACGTGCCCAGTTGCTGCCGGGCTCTGCTATTTCACAGTCACTGAAATAACTGCGGGGTTGTTTCTCCCGTAAGAGGTACAGGGGAAACAAGCTGGCATTTCCTCTCCCTCTGCATCTCCTACAAAGAAATGCCCTGAGAGACGTGGAAAACACGGTCTAGAGGAAAGGTTGAAAAAGCTGTGTTTGTTGAGTCTAGCAAGGAGAGGGCTTGAGCGGGGCATAAAAATTCTAAAATATGCAAAAGGCTGTTAGAAAACGACCCTGGAGCCGGTTGTTCTCAGCGTCTGTGGGGGCAACTGGGAATGAAAGAACAGCTTAACTCACAGGAAAGGTGGGTTAGGGTGAAGCAAAGGGAAATTTTCCAGCTGTGAGGCACGTGCAGCCTCAGGATTCGGGGGTGATCTCAGGGTCTGGAGACCCTTGATGCTGGTTAGAGGGTGTATTAGATGCTGTGGATCTTGCCCAGAGCCCTTGGCTGTAGCCTGCATTCCCCAGGGGATGAATTTAGAGGTGGGCTTTGAGGAGACCCCAGACACCACCTCAGATGCTTCTGTGGTGGCAATAGCTTCCCCAGGAGATGAATTTAGAGGTGGGCTTTCTCTTGATGCCTGAGGAGACCCCAGGCACCACCTCAGATGCTTCTGTGGTGGCAATAGCACAGTCCTCTCTGTGGTTTCTTCTCCTGAGTTCAGGTGATGGAGGAACTCGATGATCTTTAAGGTCCCTTCCGTCCTCTCCGTGGTTTGCTCTCCTGAGTCCAGGTGATGAAGGAACTCGATGATCTTTAAGGTCCCTTCCAACCCAAACCATTCTATGTTTCTATCTAGGCCTGGGAGGTGAAAGGTCCTGTAAATCATTACTAATCTTCTGAGCCGTGCGCGCTGCCAAATCATTCCTTAAGCCTTTGTGCAGGCTTTGGATGTCCTTCGTGTGACCCCAGCCTGGAGAGAGCTGTATATGCTTCCAATTTTTAAAAGTTAAGGGGTTGGGTGGTTTTTTGTTGGGGTTTTTCTTTTTTTTGTGTGCTCAGACTCAGCACAAATGACAGGATGTTCCTGTACCCAGGGCTCAGCTCTGTGTTTCTGACCACCCTCTGCCCCATCACTTGCTCCACAAGTCGTAACTGCAGCAGATGGAGGGGTTTTACGTGGTTTGAGTTCCAGATTGGTCTCCTGGCTTAACCCAGGACCCCTCTCTGGAGATCCCTACGGTGGCTGAATCCATCTAGTGGCTTCCACAGGTGGAAAGAGGGTGAGAGCTGGATCCATGTGACTCTGGAGCTTCCCGTAAAGCTCCTGAGAGATGTGGTAGGACAACTGGGTTGGGAGATCCCATGAGCAGCAGCACTTCTCTGCTGCACAACTGCTGGGGTCAAAAAGGCTCCCAAATCCAAGCACTAAACCTGCAGAGAACTAAGGGGTCTCTTTTTATTCTCTGTCCATGTATAGGGATGTGAGAATCACAGAATCACAGAATCTTAGTGGTTGGAAGGAACCTCTGAGATCATCGAGTCCAACCACAAAAAAAAACCAAAACAAAACAAAGCAAAAAAAAAAAAAACAAAAAAACCACCAAAAAACAAAACACACCACACCAAACGCCCACCAAAAACCCCGCACCCACCAACTAAACCCCACACTCAACACCTCGCCATAAACCAATAACCTTGGGCACTAGAGCAGGCCCTGAAGAGCCATGTCTACACGTTTCTTAAATACCTCCAGGGATGGTGACTCCACCACCTCCCTGGGCAGGCTGTTCCAGGGCCTGACCACTCTCTCAGTAAAGTAATTCTTTCTAATATCTAATCTAAATCTCCCTTGCCACAACTTCAGACCATTTCCTCTGGTCTTGTCATTCGTCCTTTGGGAGAAGAGGCCAACACCTGCCTCTCTACACCCTCCTTTCAGGGAGTTGTAGAGGGCAATGAGGTCTCCCCTCAGCCTCCTCTTCTCCAAACTAAACATGCCCAGTTCCCTCAGCCTCTCCTCATAGGACTTGTTCTCCAGGCCCCTCACCAGCGTATGTCTGTGCATATCATAGTGTTAGCAGATAAAGACCTCCTTTCATCCAGCCCTTTTAGCCTTTTTTTATTACGTGTTGGTCATTTTAAGGTGCCTCAGGGTAATATTTTTTAGGCCGCAACTTGCCTGCGGCCACATGCTGTAAAGAAAAGGATCTTCATTCCCAGCAGGAATAGCATCCCTTCTGTCTGTGTCTTCCAGCAACCACTGGTGAGGCTGAAAGGGGGTGCCAACACCGGTGAAGGCCGGGTTGAAGTGCTGAAGAACGGGGAGTGGGGGACGGTGTGTGATGACAACTGGAACTTGGTGTCGGCCAGCGTGGTGTGCCGGGAGCTGGGCTTCGGCAGCGCCAAGGAGGCCATCACGGGGGCCAGGCTCGGGCAAGGTAAGAGCAGCACCAGCTCTGGGGACCATTCCTGCCTTGTCCACCTCCCAGAACTCTTTCACCATTCAGGGCAGAGCGTATTTTGACTGGGATGTTTGTCTTGGGGACCAGGAATTTCTTCTACTACCCATTAATAAGTCTCTCGAGTCCAGGAGCTTGAGGCTGAACTGGAATATGTGACTTAGAAAGATATTCAGGATTCCTTGAAAGAAGCCTAGTGATGAGGAGTTTAACCTTTCCCTCAGACAGCTGTTCCAGTAATTACTTCTTCGTTATCGCATCCGTTGCTCTCAAATTCTCTTTACAAGTTCTCCAGGTTCACATCATGGTGGGATGCATTACTAGAAGGTTCCTGGCAAAAATGTGTCCTGGATCTAGACTTCAAAAGCTCTCCAATTTAAGACCAGGACGTTAATTTAGCCCATTATAAATAGAAGGGCATTTGAACAGTTCAGAGCCAGGTTTGGGTTTGGATTTCCTGTATTTGGGAGTTGGTTTAAATCCCAAACTGTGGTAAATGGCAACTCCAAGCCTTACGGACGCCCTCTCAAACCACCTTCTGATTCACATGCCTTGCTCCCTTAGTGCAACCCCTGAAGAAAATGATACCCAACGAAAACCTTTTATTTTGAGACTAAATGAATGGGTGAAATTTCTTCAGCCACGGCTTGGAAAAGGGCGGGGAAAGTGACAGCACGTGTAGAGCACAGCGGTGCCGTCTGGAGTCTGGAAAACTTCAAAATATGACCTATCTGTGGGATTTGCCAAAAAAAAAACCTCACAGTGGGACGCAGGGAGCTGCTGATGTGTTTAACTGTATCTCAGAATGGGAATAATCATCGTGGGGGGGACGTGGCTGCCTCGTGAGGGAGGAGAACGCGCCGTCCCTGCCTTCTCCTGCAGCCTGGAAACTCTTAGTAGCTCCTGCCCGGTCCCACGCGCTTCCTTTTAACGTTCCAACTCCAGCAATCAATCAGGGCACCCCGTCAAAACGCTCCCCTGGGGATGAAAAACTCTCAGTAACTTCCTACGGCAGCTGGATCCTCACGTCGTGGTAGGAAAAAGAGCTCTTTTGGCCCGAAACATCGCCTCCGCGGCTGTTAAATTCCGTCTCCGCGCACGCGGTTTACGCTTTGCTTTGTTACAGCCCCATCTCGGTGGATTTGTGGGTTCAAAGATTAATTAGGGCCACGGAGATGCTGCTGGGAGGGGGGGCTGAGAGAGTTGGAGGGGTTCAGCCTGGAGAAGAGAAGGCTCCGGGGAGACCTCAAAGCCCCTTCCAGTCCCTCAAGGGGCTCCAGGAGAGATGGGGAGGGACTCTTGATCAGGGAGAAGGAGCAGTTTTAAACCAAAACTTAGGAGATGGAGATGAGATTTTGGGAGGAAATTCTTCCCACCAGACTCTTTTCAGTAGGTGCCAGTGAGAGGACAAGGGGCAACGGGCACAAGTTGGAACAGAAGAGGTTCCACTCAAATAAGAGGAGGAACTTTTTCACGGTGAGGGTGGCAGAGCCCTGGAACAGGCTGCCCAGGGAGGGTGTGGAGTCCCCTTCTTTGGAGATTTTCAAGACCCACCTGGATGCTCCTGAGTAACATGCTCTGACAAGCTCTGGGTGGTCCTGCTTTAGCAGGGGAGTTGGACTAGATGATCTCTATGGTCCCTTCCAACTCTAAAAATTCAGTGAAATTCAGTGAAAAAAAAACAAACAAAAGAGGCTAGATGCACGTTCCCCGTTGGCCTTGGCCTTAGGGTCTGCTCCATCATTGTATAGATCTTGTGCGACGGGTGGATATGGGGTGGCTGAAGCACTAAGGTGGCCAAAGCCAAGTGAATTCTGTGAATGGACCCAATACATTGACATTTCTGCTTTTGTGGCTCTCGCTGCTGTGGTCAGAAGGCGGCTCCAGGGGACACCCTGACTCACCCCGCCACGCAACCGTGGAAATATGCTAGAGAGAAGGGGTTTTTTATGTAATTTTTTGGTGTTCCCTCTGCCTGGGCAGAAGTCTGAGGAGGTGAAGGGTTCACCAGACAGATCATTAAACTGTCACCCACGGTTAGGTCTCCGAGTCCCTGGTGTGCTGGCATCCACACAGAGTTAGAGAGGCTCCAGATGGCAGTAGGAAGAGGGTTTTAAGCAAAAAGATCCCACCTACAGTTTAATAAACCAATTACATTTTCCTGCCTTCCAGTGTCAGCCCTTTGCTTTGAACTAAAAGGAGGAGGCTTGACGTTGGGTAAGATTTTCCTTTCCAGAGGAGCAAGAAAATAAAAGCAAAAAGGGTTCATAGAGAGGCAGGGTGTGCCCAGGAGCCTGCTGGTCAGGGTCCAGTTGGAAGTTCTGCCAGTCTTTAACTTTGGGCAGTTTGTGTCATCTCTGGGTGCAGAGGGAGAAGCAGAGCCAGCAGCTGGGATGTCATTCCCATGGTGGGAATGCTCTGAGAGGTCCAGCTCTGGCTCTGCAGGGCCCTCATCACTTGTGCTGTGATGGGAATGGTGTTGCAAGGATGAAGAATGCTGCCAGAAATGGAAGAAACCAGTTGCTTTTCGATCTTCGTTACCCAGATGGGTCAGCCTGGCCTCCAGCAGCCTCCTGTGGTGTGTACCAACACGGGGAACTCCAAACTGGTGTTCCACCAGCTAGAAAGGACTGGTGAAGGGTATTGGTGGGTGGATGCTGCTTTCTTGGAAACTTTTTCTTTGGCTTTTGCCTTTTGTCACCACTGTCATCATTATGTTCCCCGTTGCTGACCAGAGACGGGTGAACCTGCAGCTCAGATGGAAGTGCCTGGGGAAGGGCTGCAGGGAAACGAGACAATCACAGAATCATGGAATTGTCCAGGTTGGAAGGGACCTTTCAGATCATCAAGTCCAACCATCAACCCAGCTCTGCCCAAACTACCACTGACCCATGTCCCTCAGCACCACGTCTGCCCAGCTTTTAAATCCCTCCAGGGATGGTGTCTCCACCACTGCCCTGGGCAGCCTCTTCCAAGGCTTGACAACTCTTTGGATGAAGAAATGTTTCCTAATATCCATCTGTTATGCAGTATCTGGAGAGAGCACGTTGCTAGCAAAGGTCAGAAATGTTTTTATTCTCAGCTTCCCATCTCTGAGAGCTTCCTAGAAATTGCTGGAGACAGAAATTCTACATCTGCTACTTGTATGGATCTCCTGTCAAAACTATCCAGTATGTTTCCACCAGCAATTACTCATGGATTTTATGGGCTCCAAGAAAGACTCTGGTTGTTCTTTTGGGATGAAGATCATCTGCTGGAACCTTGGATTCATCCTCCAAACTTCCTTTAAGCCAGCTTTGGGCTCAGTATGGAAACAGGACCTGAGAGCTTTGCAGGGGAGGTTATTGCCTTCTCATATGTGTCTCTTTGGTAGAAATGATGATTTTCTGCTGCCACTTGTCCAAGGAGGAACCAAATTATTCAATTTGGCTCCTGGCACCTTGAGACCACCCTCTGTGGTACGAGAGGATGTTTGTTCTCCCGTTCCCATCGGCGTTGGTGGAATCCGTAACCCTCAGCTGCCCCAGAGCTGATTGACTTGGCTCCTGGGGCATCCCCGTGGTGGGGTGTGTTTTGTCATCCCAGTAAACGTGTGGATGTCCCAGTTAAATGTCAGGGCTTGACTGGGAGCAGACTCCAGCCTGTGCACCCAACTGAAAAGGTCACAACTTGCGAATTCCTGCAGCTGAAGTTTGTAAATTATGTAACAAGGAACACTTGGCTTTTGTGGATCCCAGAGACTCCTGGAAAGAATTTAACAGTAGAATTATTAATAATAATAATAAACTTGCAGGGTTTTTTGGTTTGTTTTTACAAGAAATCACTGGAATTTTTCCGGATTACCGTGTTTTGAATGCTAGAGGGCAGCGTGATGCCTGCGATGTATTAATAAACTGTTAATTGGCTATTTCTTCACCGTGCAGCAGCCTGGGCAGGAGGTAAGGACTCTTTTTTTTTTCTCTGCTTTCCTTCCCCAAGGCATGGGCCCGATTCACCTGAACGAAATCGACTGCACGGGCTTTGAGAAGTCGGTGACGGACTGTAAATTCAACACGGAGTCGCAGGGCTGTAACCACGAGGAAGACGCCGCCGTGAGATGCAACGTCCCAGCCATGGGTTTCCAGAACCAGGTAAGAAGCTGAGCGAGATCCACGTGCAAGTGGTGAGATGTTCTCATCCCAGAGCATCTTCCACCCTCCCGTGCAGAGCAGGGTGTCTGGGTGGGGGTCATTTCCCCAGAGTGGTGCCTGTTTAATTTAGATTTTAACATCTGTGTTGTTAGATGGGGGGGAGAAATCATAGAATCCCAGAATGGTTTGGGTTGGAAGGGACCTCAAAGATCATCTAGTTCCAACCCCCCTGCCCTGGGCAGGGACACCTCCCACCAGAGCAGGTTGCTCAAGGCCCCATCCAGCCTGGCCTTGAACCCCTCCAGGGATGGGGCATCCACAACTTCCCTGGGCGACCTGTTCCAGTGTCTCCCCACCCTCATAGTAAAAAATTTCTTCCTGAGATCTAATCTGAATCTTTTTTCTTCCAATTTAAAACCGTTTCCCCTTGTCCTATCATTACCCCTCCTGGCAAAGAGTCCCTCCCCAGCTCTTCTATAGGCACCCTTCAGGTATTGAAAGGCCGCTATAAGGTCTCCCCGGAGCCTCCTCTTCTCCAGGCTGAACACTCCCAGCTCCCTCAGCCTGTCTTCATAGGAGAGGTGCTCCATCCCTCTGATCATCTTCGTGGCCCTCCACTGGACCTGTTCCAGCTGGTCCATGTCCTTTCTGTGTTGAGGACTCCAAAGCTGGACACAGTATTCCAGGTGGAAATAGGGATGATGCTCCTTTTTGTACTGAGCTTTGAGTCCTCCACCCATTTATAAGCTCCACCCATTTATAAGTGCCACTTCAGCTCTAACTTGTGCTCCAGCAGCCCTGTAAAGCTGGTGGATGTCCCTGTTGTGATGGGATCTCGTGACAGTGGTACCCCGGTGGCTGTGACATCTTTGCCACGTGGAGCTTAAAAGCTTCAACCACATGAACTGGACACAGGTTCCTCTGAGTCCTCCTCCTGCCAAAGGTCCAAAGGGAGTGGAGAAGGGAAGCTTCCATCAGCAGGGTGGTGGTTCTCTCTTAAAACTGCTATGCTAGAGACCACTTCCAGATGCTGAGCTGCTCCGTATCCACGGTAGGAGGTGAAGAACCAGACCACAACTGGTCTGCTGGGACCCGAACTGGGGATTCTGGGCTTGGTGGCTTTAACCACAAGCCATGAGGAGACCCCGAGCGTTGCTTGCCCAACTGTTGCGTCTTCCCTGTAAAGTTTGCTGTGGTGGTTGTTGATGGATGAGGTTTTTATGCCCTGCAGCTACGTCTGAGTGGTGGCCGCAACCCCTACGAGGGCCGGGTGGAGGTCCTGGCCGAACTTTTGCTCTGGTGTTTGTTGATGGATGAGATTTTTATGCCCTGCAGCTACGTCTGAGCGGCGGCCGCAACCCGTACGAGGGCCGGGTGGAGGTCCTGGCCGAACGCAACGGCACGTTGAAGTGGGGCACCGTCTGCAGCGAGAACTGGAGCACCGTGGAGGCCATGGTGGTGTGTCGGCAGCTGGGGCTGGGCTTTGCCAGCCATGCCTTCCAGGTGAGTCCCCGGGCCCACCTTTCAGATACAGTGGCATCTGCATGCTTGGGTAGGTTCTGCTGGGTGAGGAAAGCTCTTTTAAAACAAACCAACCAAAAAAAAACCAACAAAAAATCCAACCAACCAAGCCAAAAAAAAACCCCACCAAGCCATAGAATCATCATAGAATCATTGAGGTTGGAAGAGACCCTTGGGATCATCGAGTCCAACCATCTCCCCTACTCTACAAAGTCCTCCCCTACACCATATCCCTCAGTACCCCATCTAAACATCCCTTAAACCCATCCAGGGATGGGGACTCCACCCCCTCCCTGGGCAGCCTGTTCCAATGCCCGACCACTCTTTCAGTGAAAAATTCTTTCCTAATGTTCAATCTAAACCTCCCCTGTTGGAGCTTGAAGCCGTTCCCTCTCGTTCTATTGTTAATTACCTGTGAGAAGAGACCAGCACCAACCTCTCTACAGTGTCCTTTCAAGTAGTTGTAGAGAGTGATGAGGTCTCCCCTCAGCCTCCTCTTCCTCACACTAAACAGCCCCAACTCCCTCAGCCGCTCTTCATATGATTTGTCTTCTAGACCCTTCACTAGTTTCGTTGCCCTCCTCTGCACTCGCTCCAGCATAAATCACAGTGTCCAGCTTCAAAGCATGAGCTGGAAATGCCCTGAAGGTTCAACCTCATTTCACAAGAGCCACTGGGGGAGATTCAGAGGAGAAGGAGCTCTTGCAGCTCTGGGCAAAGCTGCTGTTTTCCTGCTTCTGGGAAGCCTGGCTGCCTTGACCCTGGTTGGGCTGATGGTTGGGTGGAGTTTCTTGACCCTCCCTGAGCCGGCGGGGAGTTGAGAAACCAAGTTTAACCCGGCGTCAAGTCACCTGAAAACGGTTTGATTTTGCTCCTGTAGTTAGTTCTCAGCACAGAGTGTGCTCTGGGCTGTGGGGGAGCTGGATGTAACTCTTGCTCCTCCCGTGACACGCACCCTCAGCCCTCCCTGCTTGCACATGACCGAGAACGGCGCTTAATAAACGGGATAAAAGCCACCAATTTGGGATAAACCACAAAGGAATAAAGTGTTCTTTCCCAGCGAAGCTCTTTGGCACGACGATGGCAGCCTGCTGTGCTGGCTGGAGGAAAGTGAGTGGTGACTAAGAGCTGGAAGGAGCTGGGGCAAGAGCTTCCCACTCAATTCCCTGATGGATAAATGGCATCGGGTGTAAATTAGCCAGTTTAGGTCAATATCCCTGGTGTAGGATGCTCTTTTCTACTGGTACATCCCTCAAGGACCATAAGGTGAGAGAAGGGCAGGCAGACTTAGGTATAACGATAGGTTTTGAAAGGAAATATGTAACCTCTGGGCCTTTATTCTCCAAAACATTGGGAAAATGGGGTTTGAGGATCCTAAAATAAACTGGTAATTTTATCTCTAGCAAGTAGGTTTTGAAAGGAAATATGTAACATCTGGGTGTTTATTGCAGCTCCCAGACATTGGGAAAATTGGGATTGAGGATTCTAAAATAAACTGGTAATTTTATCTCTAGCACAAAGTAATTCCTTGCTGCCCTGCTGTGCTCTGGAAATGCAGCCCCTTTTGTGAGGCATTTCAACCAAGAACCAACCATCGCCAGCAGCTTTGGGGAAATTTAGGTTCCAATGGCCCACTGAATAAACAAACTTTGTGTGTGTTTATATAGATGGGAACCCACAGGCAGAAAACAGCCTTAGATCAGTTCTGGAAGGAAAACTGTTTTCCCCAAACAATTTCCGGATGTCAAAAACTTGGGCAAATTGAGTGAAATGTGGTTGCAGAGAGAGGAGGCTGTTCCCAACCTCTGAGCTGGAGGTCCAGGGGGTTCCTCTGTGTCTGCTCTCCTTGATATTCACATCCAGCAATAAAACCAGTAAGAATCAGCATCTCTGCCCACTGCCTGCTGGTTTTGTGCAGGGAGGAGCAAGAAAGCCCTGAAATGACTCATGACCTCGGCATCCTCGGGGCTGGTTGTTGCCCAGTGGGAAGGCTGGAGGGACCTTAGGTGGCAGGGGATGGTTAAAACCCTTCCTGGAGAGCCCAGTCTGGCAACTGGGATCTAGGAGGACACACTGGGCTCCTGGGCAAGCGGATTCCAACCAATTCAACACTTATCTATGGTCGGGGAGGGCATCTGCAGGTCCTTGAGGGCCACGCTGGGGTTGGAGGGAGAAGGTTGGAGGGAGAAGGTTGGAGCTGGCCATGCTGCTGTGGTGGCCATTCCCATGTGCAAACTGGTCCCACCAGCTGATTTACCTGCCAAGCAGAGAGCAGGAGCCCAGGGTGGCCATGTCCCTTGAACGTTGGCCTTTCCAGCTGCCTGGCTCTATTGACATAGCCCTGAGAGCCCAGCAAGAAACAAGACATTTTTTTTCCTTGGGCTGAGACTGTTGGTATTTAGAACAGAAAAGGCCCTTATGTGGATCCCGGCGGCACCAGCGACGTGAGGATAAAGCCACACTGTGTGGAACAGGGCAGCCCTGTGTGTGGGTGTGCAGAGAGCCTCGTTAACGGGGCTAACGACCAGCCTGCTGCCATGGGAGCCATGGGACAGATGGGTTTTCTTTTCCTGGAAACGTGCTCCCCACTTTTGACACTTTGATTTTTTTTCTTATTTTTTTTTTTTATTTAACTTTTTTCTTCTTCCTTCCCTCCCCTTCTCCCAGGCTTCGCTGTTGCAGCATCGTCAGGGTTCAGTGGGCTTAGTTTTGGGAGTGGTGTTAATTTGTGTGTTAATTCTGCGTGTCATTTCCCCCAAGTTTGGTAAATCTGGGTGCTGAAGAGGAGCAGCAAGCGGGATTTGAACATCCCTCCCCTGGGAACCAAGAGATACAGACCCCTTTAGTCCTGATACTCCTCAAATTCCTTGTTTCTGCTGGTATTTCTAGTGGAAACGTTAATTCTGCCTCCCCTCCTTGTGCAAGCAGCTGCTCTGGCACTTCTTGCAGCCCTCCCAAGGGCACAAATGTCACAAGACAGACGAGGTTTAATTGCTGGGCATCGCTCCCAAAGGCCCAGCCTAGATGACTTCAAACCTCCCGAGGATGAATTCATCAGCAGGATGGGCAGAGCGGGGTGGAAAAGTGACTTTACAGCTGGGTTAGAACAAGCAGAGATTTAAACCAGCGCAGGAACAAGGAGAGAGATTTATTTAACACTGGGCAGAGCAGGGAAACTGCTCAACCTGGGGTTTAATCCCAATCCCAGCCTTCTATTTAAAGGGATTTGGGCTCGTTTCCCAAATTACTCTTCTCCACTCCAGCATCTTTGGCAAAATGTGTCTCCTTGGTGGTGTGTGCTCTTGTGTTGATCTCCCTCGGGGGAGAACGCAGGTTAGAAGGGAGTGAATATTCCCCCAAGGTCTATGAAACACTGAGAAATGCCTTTTTTTTTCTGCTTTTCTGCCCAGGAAACGTGGTACTGGCACGGGGACGTCAGCGCCGACAACGTGGTGATGAGCGGGGTCAAGTGCTCGGGGACGGAGATGTCCCTGGCCCACTGTCGGCACGACGGAGCCGAGGTCTCCTGTCCCAGAGGAGGGGGTCGTTTTGGTGCCGGCGTGTCCTGCTCCGAGAGTGAGTCATTCTGGGTTTATTTATTTCATTTTGGCAGCGAGGTTTTGGTGGGTTTTTTTAACCCCTGAGATATTCAGGAGGAACGCGCTGGATGTATCAGAACAGCAGCAAATTGCTGCTGCTGAGCTGCCTCAAGTCTTACTTTTTCCTGCATTTAAGAAGTCCTTAAATGCAGGAAACTCAAGTCGAGTTTAAAGGCTTATTCTTTTTCTTAATAGGGGCTTTTGTCAAAGTGAAAGTGGGTTTTAAGCTTTATAAGAATATAAAGAGGGTGTGAACTCTTTGCGCTGTTGTAGCAACCTCAGCCTTCGTGTTTTGTGACTTTTAAGTGGGTATTTGTCATTTTTTTTTTTCTATTTAGCCTAGTTTTTATATATTATTTCTGTGGTTTAGCTAAAAAGGGCAAGAAGCAGTCTGTAAATGTGCAAAATTATGTCATTTCACCGACCTAAGTAAGGTCATTGGGTCTGACGCTTCAACTGCTGTGAGGGAAGTGTGAGGAAGGGGCTGGTGCTTGGATGGGGGGGTGCTTTAATTAGCCCATAAATTAATTTCAAGCCTTCCCTGCCACAGCTGCCCCCGACCTGGTGCTCAACGCCGAGCTGGTGGAGCAGACAGCTTACCTGGAGGACAGGCCCATGTTCATGCTGCAGTGTGCACTGGAGGAGAACTGCCTGGCCAGCTCGGCCGTCAACACCTCCGTCACCTCCGGCTACCGCCGCCTCCTCCGCTTCTCCTCCCAGATCCACAACAACGGGCAGTCCGATTTCCGCCCCAAAAACGGCCGCCACGCCTGGGTCTGGCACGACTGTCACCGGTGAGTGCCCCGGAGATGGTTGTGCCCAGGTAGCCAAGAAAGCCAACGGCATTCTGGCTTGGATTAGAAATACTGTGACCAGCAGAAGTAGGGAGGTGATTGTGCCCCTGGACTCAGCACTGGGGAGGCCACACCTCGAGTGTTGTGTCCAGTTTTGGGCACCTCAATCCAAGAGAGATCTGGAGGTGCTGGAGCGAGTGCAGAGGAGGGCAACGAAACTAGTGAAGGGTCTAGAAGACAAATCATATGAAGAGCTGCTGAAGGAGCTGGGGCTGTTTAGTATGAGGAAGAGGAGGCTGAGGGGAGACCTCATCACTCTCTACAACTACTTGAAAGGACACTGTAGAGAGGTTGGTGCTGGTCTCTTCTCACAGGTAATTAGTGACAGAACGAGAGGGAACAGCTTCAAGCTCCAACAGGGGAGGTTTAGATTGAACATTAGGAAGGAATTTTTCACCGAAAGAGTGGTCGGGCATTGGAACAGGCTGCCCAGGGAGGGGGTGGAGTCACCATCCCTGGATGGGTTTAAGGGATGTTTAGATGGGGTACTGAGGGATATGGTGTAGGGGAGGACTTTGTAGAGTAGTGTAGATGGTTGGACTCGATGATCCCAAGGGTCTCTTCCAACCTCAATGATTCTATGATTCTATGTACGCGGTCGGTGCCTCCTTCCGTCCCTTTGTGCCACCCAAAAGGGGCTGGTTGGAAACGCTGGAGCCACGTTCACAGAGCTGTGACCTCTGTTAGGGCAGCCGTGGTCCTCAGAGAGTGGAGAAACCAGCTTATTCCAGTAAGGATTATCGTTAGGGACTGGTGTGAGAGGAGTGGGGCTGTCATTGGGAGAGATGTGTGTGTGAGGACAGTGTATACGTGTATGTACAGAGAGGGGGAAGAGCATGGGGTCTGAGAGCCCACCTGGAGCACTGGGTCCAGCTCTGGATCCTCAGCACAGGAAGGACATGGAGCTGTTGGAGCGGGGCCAGAGGAGATCATGGAGATGCTGGGAGGGTTGGAGCCCCTCTGCTGGGAGGGGGGGCTCTGGAGATCTTCAAGCCCCCCCCGGATGCTCCTGAGTGATGTGCTCTGGGCAGCCCTGCTTTGGCTGGGGACTTGGAGTAGACGATCTCTAGAAGGTCCCTTCCAACTCCAACAATTCCATGATTCTGTAAAACTGGGGTTTAGGGAAGGAGGAAAGCCAGACCAGTGCTATTTTATCTGCCTTTCTGGCCCTGTTGGGAAGGGGCTGAGGGAATTGTGGGGACCACAAGGCTTTGAGCACATCGTGGGCTGGTTAAAAAGGAGAACGCTTGGAGCTGGTCGGGAGAAACTCCACGAGGTGAGACCAGGGAAGGCTCAGGAAGAGTCTGAGAGCCATCTGCGCGCTTTAAACTGGATCCTGTTTATCCAGAGGAGGGATGAACTCAATTCCTCTTCAATCTTTCCAGTCTGTAAACACCCCAATGTAAACACCTCTTTGAATGATTCAGACATAGCTCAGAAACTGAGTCAGGCTGGAGAACCTCAAACTTTCAGCGGAGGCAGCCAAATCCGACGGCCTCAAAAATGCCGCTGTGGAATTGCCTCTCCTTTCCCAGCTGCCCCAGTCCATCACTGGGAGCTTCTGTTGAACCAGCTTTTGATGTGGAAGTAGAATGAAAAAAGGGGAAATATCTGGAGCAGGGAGGGAGAAGGGATTCGCTTGTGGCAGGTGGCAATTTTTATTTTTATTTTTATTTTTATTTTTCTTTGGTTGGGGGAAGGGCGGGAGGAGGTAAGAAGAAACCCACTCTAGAGGAAAAAATTCCTCCCCTTCCCTCCTTGCCCCCCCTCCGGTGGGGGCAGAGCGATGCTGCGATAACGGTGGCTGAAGCTTTTTAAGCCATGATTGTTTTTACAGCTGGAGAGGATTTCTACACTTTCTCCTTCTTTTATTTTTATTTTTATAAAACTCCGAAGCGATGGCTTTTGACTCAGGGCCTGTCTGTGCAGTTGCCTCACTCCTCAGAGCTGAGCATCTCTCGGTCGTTTCAGTAGCCAGCCCAGCCCAGCCAGTGGCCCGGCGCGGTGTCCCCGTAGCTGGGGTGGACAGGCAGTGATTTAAGGACCTTCTCCTCTCCCAGCACCTCCCAGTTCCTCTCCCAGCACCTCCCAGTTCCTCTCCCCATCCCCTCGATGTGCTCACGCTGTGGGTTTGCTCCCGATTCCGAGGCTGGGATGAAATTCAATGTATTGCATCAGCCTGATGGTGTTCCTGTGCCCAGCCCTGACCTCGTGGCACACACTGCTCTGTTTCCATCGGGTATTTCCATCTCCTTCCTGCTCTGCCAGTCCCAGGGACTTCACCGGGACCGAAGCACTGCCTTCATTATTTTTTTTTGCTGAAGCAGCAGCGTGGTGTGGAAAAGGTTGGTGTTCCAGAGTTCAGTGTTACCCAAACCCTGCTGAGATCCAGCTTTGCTCATCAAAATCATAGAATCGTCCAGGTTGGAAGGGACTTTTCAGATCATCGAGTCCAACCATCAACCCAGCGCTGCCCAAACCCCCACTGACCCATGTCCCTCAGCACCACGGTCGTTTCTTCTTTCCATGAAGAGATTTTCCCCAATATCCATCCTAACCCTGCAGCGAGGGGTGTGCAGCACAGACTGGGGCTGTCTCTGAACTCTTGCTGCTGGAGTGTCCCTGTTGCTCAGCCCAGCCCAGGTTGACACCAACACTTTTCCCCCTTTAAAATGATGACACGGCTCATGTGTGAACCCAGCTGTCGGGCTGTTGGGATCCGAGCGCCGAGAGGAGCTGGTTCCATCTGTTGTGAAGTTTTCTGCCAACAAATTTGCAATTCTGCTGCTTAAAAAGAAATTTAAATTAAATAAATAAATCGAAATAGCCAGGTTGCTGGTTCTGGGTACATCCAGCTCCGTTTTGGAGGAGCTGGTGAAATAATTTCTTGTTCTGGCAAACGACGGGGCCGCTAGAAATGATGACCTGGCTGATGGTGGCTTTGATTTATTTTTATTTTTTTTTTCACCTTTCCTTGCCGTTATAAAACACGGTGTGATTCTCCAAAAGCTGGGACAAGGCTCTCCCCTGGAACAGCTTTAGTAATTGATATATAAACAAATATCCAGGCCGGGAGCCAGCGCGAAGGCGGCGTTGGGCGATGGAGACATGGAGGGAGGATGATGCCCAGGGGAATATTTCCTGGCTGGGGTTTCTCTCCCTCTTCCTCCTTGGTCTCTAACACTTCGTGCTGCCCTGGATTTACCCCCGTGGCCAGGAGATGAAATGCCAGGAGGTAAAAACATATCCATTGAGGGACTGAGTTGAGTTCTAGGTGGTCCTGCTTTGGCAGGGGGTTGGACTAGATGATCTCCAGAGGTCCCTTCCAAACCCGGATCGTTCTGTGAGTCTGGGCTACTCGTTGTCATGCCCCAGCCACCAGACCATCTCTGTTGGGACAGACTATGCAGCCCTTTAGACCTGGTAAATTAATTAAAGAGATGTCTCTTATCCCTAAAGATAATTCTCCCTGTCTGTGCCTTGCAGGCATTACCACAGCATGGAGGTTTTTACCCACTACGATCTACTCAACCTCAACGGAACCAAGGTGGCTGAGGGACACAAAGCCAGCTTCTGCCTGGAGGACACCGAGTGTGAAGCAGGTACGTTCCCTGGAGCCCTTTGTGCTGGGAATTTGTTGTTGTTCTCATACAACTGATGGCTTCAAAGATGCTTCAAAGACTCTTGATGAGGGAGGGGAGCCCTAGGAGGAGGGGGAAGGGTTTGACCCTGAAAGATTGAGGTGAGATGTGGAGAAGAACTTCCAGAACAGGAGCTGCCTCCACTGCAAACCATTCAGGGCCATGGAAATGCTGGGAAGGGATGCTGAGAGAGTTGGGGGGTTCAGCCTGGAGAAGAGAAGGCTCCATGAAGACCTTAGAGCCCCTTCCAGTCTCTCAAGGGGCTCCAGGAAAGCTGGGGAGGGACTCTGGATGAGGGAGGGGAGCCCTAGGAGGAGGGGGAAGGGTTTGACCCTGAAAGATTGAGGTGAGATGTGGGGAAGAACTTCTTTGGTGGGAGGGTGGTGAGAGCCTGGCCCAGGTTGCCCTGAGAAGCTGTGGCTGCCCCATCCCTGGAGGGGTTCAAGGGCAGGGTGGAGGGGGCTTGGAGCAACCTGGGCTGGTGGGAGGTGTCCCTGCCCATGGAAAGGGTTAGCAGGTACGTTCCCCAGAGCCCTTTGTGCTGGGAATTTGTTGTTGTTCTCATACAACTGATGGCTTCAAAGATGCTTCAAAGACTCTTGATGAGGGAGGGGAGCCCTAGGAGGAGGGGGAAGGGTTTGACCCTGAAAGATTGAGGTGAGATGTGGAGAAGAACTTCCAGAACAGGAGCTGCCTCCACTGCAAACCATTCAGGGCCATGGAAATGCTGGGAAGGGATGCTGAGAGAGTTGGGGGGTTCAGCCTGGAGAAGAGAAGGCTCCATGAAGACCTTAGAGCCCCTTCCAGTCTCTCAAGGGGCTCCAGGAAAGCTGGGGAGGGACTCTGGATGAGGGAGGGGAGCCCTAGGAGGAGGGGGAAGGGTTTGACCCTGAAAGATTGAGGTGAGATGTGGGGAAGAACTTCTTTGGTGTGAGGGTGGTGAGAGCCTGGCCCAGGTTGCCCTGAGAAGCTGTGGCTGCCCCATCCCTGGAGGGGTTGAAGGGCAGGTTGGAGGGGGCTTGGAGCAACCTGGGCTGGTGGGAGGTGTCGCTGCCCATGGAGAGGGTTTGGAATGAGATGATCTTTAAGGTCCCTTCCAACCCAAATCATTCTATGATTAAAGAGGAAGCTACTCACCAGGAGCTGGAGGAGAACTTGCCCTTCTCCTGGGCTGGCCCAGGGTGGGCAATTCCCAGCCTGGCTTGTCCCTGGATCTAACACCTTGTGCCTTTGCCTCTCCTCGTTTAGATGTGCAGAAACAGTACGAATGTGCCAATTTTGGTGAGCAGGGGATCACGGTGGGCTGCTGGGACGTCTATCGCCACGACATCGACTGCCAGTGGATCGACATCACCGATGTCCCCCCCGGCGACTACCTCTTCCAGGTACGGGGGGGAAAAATGGGGGTTGGAGACTCTGCTGGTGCCTTTATCTTCTCATTTATGGAACATACCCAACTAGTTTATTTGGACATCTCCTACAGTGCTATAAAGCTCTGGGGATGGAAAGATGATACTCCCAGGAGACTTAAAAGATAAAGAATTTATCTAACAGGGCAATGAAGTGTTACCAGGGCACCAAGTGATAAATCAGGGCCAAACCCAACAGTTAAGAGATAAGAGTCTTAAGAAATCTGTGTCCATGTAATAAAAAATGGGGGTTGGAGACTCTGCTGGTGCCTTTATCTTCTCATTTATGGAACATACCCAACTAGTTTATTTGGACATCTCCTACAGTGCTATAAAGCTCTGGGGATGGAAAGATGATACTCCCAGGAGACCTAAAAGATAAAGAATTTATCTAGCAGGACTATGAAGTGTTACCAGGGCATCAAGTGATGAATCAGGGCCAAACCCAACAGTTAGAGATGAGAGTCTTAAGAAATCTGTGTCCATGTAATATGTGATGGTCCTACACAGTCCAGGTGCAGCTGAAGTTGTTAATATCATATATATATATGTATTTATGTGGTATCCTGGGGGGCATGAGGAAGAGTGTGAGCAGCAGGTGGAGGGAGGTCATCCTGCCCCTCTGCTCTGCCCTGGGGAGGCCCCAGCTGGAGCACTGGGACCAGTTCTGGGCTCCCCAGTTCCAGAAGGACAGGGAACTGCTGGAGAGGGGACAGCAGAGGCTCCAGAGATGAGGAGGGCCCTGGAGCATCTCCCTTACGAGGAAAGGCTGAGGGACTTGGGGCTTTTGAGGGTGGAGAAGAGAAGGCTGAGGGGGGATCTGATCAACACCTCTAAATACTGAAAGGGTGGGTGTCAGGAGGATGGGGCTGGTCTTTTTTCAGTGGTGCCCAGGGACAGGACAAGAGGAAATGGGCACAAACTTGAACATAAGAAGTTCAATCTCAACATGAGGAGGAACTTCTTTGCTGTGAGGGTGGCAGAGCCCTGGCAGAGGCTGCCCAGAGAGGTGGTGGGGTCTCCTTCTCTGGAGACATTCAAAACCCACTTGGACATGGTTCCTGTGGGACCTGCTCTGGGTGGCCCTGCTCTGGCAGGGGGTTGGAGGAGATGGTCTCCAGAGGTCCCTTCCAACCCCATGGGATTCCATGATACAAGCACAGCAGCCTCCTCTTGTCTTGGACTAAGCTTTTGAGCTCTTTGTAAGCGACGTTCCCTTCCCTTTGGGACTAAATATTGCTTTTCTGGTGGCGTTTGCTCAGACAGTTCCTCCGGATTGTTTTGTGCAGGTGGGTGGAGTTGGGGGGGGGAATTCTTTGGGTCTAAAACCGCCGCTTAAATTGGAGAGGAGTGAAGGGAAAAGGAATTATTTTTGGCTGCGCTGCCGTTGTGTGAAACAGAGAAGGTGTTTGAGGGTCTGTCGTGGTGCACGGGGGAAGGTGTCATCTCAATCTGGCTTTAATCAAGGCAGTTCTTTCACTGAATTTCACTGAATTTTAGAGTTGGAAGGGACCATAGAGATCATCTAGTCCAACTCCCCTGCTAAAGCAGGACCACCCAGAGCTTGTCAGAGCATGTTTCTCAGGAGCATCCAGGCGGGTCTTGAAAATCTCCAAGGAAGGGGACTCCACACCCTCCCTGGGCAGCCTGTTCCAGGGCTCTGTCACCCTCACCGTGAAGAAGTTTCTCCTCATATTTGAGTGGAACCTCTTCTGTTCCAACTTGTGCCCGTTGCCCCTCGTCCTCTCACTGGGAACCACTGAAAAGAGTCTGGCTCCCTCCTCCTTCAACCCTCCCTTGAGATACTTGTAGGCGTTGATAAGGTCTCCCCTCAGCCTTCTCTTCTCCAGACTAAAGAGTCCCAGCTCTCTCAGTCTCTCCTCATAAGGGAGATGCTCCAATCCTTGAATCATCTTTGTTGCCCTTCGCTGGACTCTTTCTAGTAGCTCCCTGTCCCTCTTGAACTGGGGAGCCCAGAACTGGACACAGTACTCCAGTTGTGGCCTCACCAGTGCAGAGTAGAGGGGCAGAATGACTTCCCTTGACCTTCTTTCTCCTTGCAAAATGACTTGGGTAGGGTTTTTTTTAACAGAGAAAAAAACCAAACCTTAAGTATTATGGTGTAATGAAGCTGATTCTGTCTCAGTCTGACTCGGAAGTGTCTCATCCCCTTCCCCCTTTAACTGATTCGATGCTGTTTCTCCCCAGGTTGTCATCAACCCCAACTACGAAGTTGCTGAATCAGATTATTCCAACAACGTGATGAAATGCAGGAGCCGCTACGACGGGCAGCGCATCTGGATGTACAACTGCCACATAGGTGAGAGCTTAAGGGCAGTTGAAGGGCTGCTGGGGGTAATTAGGCTCCAGAGCTGACCCCTCGTTAGGAATTCTCTAAGTTCTCAGCATGGAAAGATGGGATCCCGAGCCAAAACTCCAGCAGAGCTGGTTCAAAGCCCAAAGCTTCTCGTGTCTTGAAAAGCAAAGAGGAATAGCGATGGGTTAAGCAGAGCTGGGGAGATCCCCCTGCTCAAACCAGAAATGAAAATTCTCTCCTTTCCCTCCAACACGAGGAAAAATTGTGCATTTTCTTATATCTCATAAAACCTTCCCATTTGGAATTGTATTTTTTTTTTGGTCTTGGAAATATTAAAGCCAAACCAGTTTAAATTTGCCTTAAAAGTCAATTGTTCAGGCCATTTTAAAATGGAATTAAGTCGAGGGCTTTGGGACATAGTGTTTTTAACACAGAAAATAGATTAATAGCAAGGGCCTGCCAACCTCCAAGTAAAAGCAGGGGAGATGACAATTTTCAGCGCCAGCTGAAATCTTTCAAGGAGTGTTTTTTCCTGAAAAAATTCCATGTTACTACTGATTTTCCTCATTAATTTGTTTGTTTTTTTTTTAAAAAATACTTGTCATGACCTGGTTCAGAAAAGCCAAACCCACTTCATTTGGAAAAACAAGCACTTAAGTGCTGGATGGGCTCTCCAGCTGAGCCTGAAAGTATTTCTATTTAAAAATAATTATATTCAGCTTCCATTGTGTCTCAGCTGGCAAAAAGCAAGGGCATGGTCCTAGTTAAGAAGAGGAAACAGCACCCTCTTCCCATCAGCCTTGAGGAGACCATTTCACAAGTCCTGCTACAAAGATCAGTAGTGAAATTGTGGGTGGTTTGTAGTGTGCTCTTCCAAGGACATAATTGGAATAGCCAAAAGTCCTTTTATGGCAAAATTTAATTAATACTTAAAGAGAAGAGAAGGTTCTGGGGAGACCTCAGAGCCCCTTCCAGTCCTTCAAGGGACTCCAGGAGAGATGGGGAGGGACTCTTGATGAGGGAGGGGAGCCCTAGGAGGAGAAGGAGCAGTTTTAAACCAAAAATTAGGAGATGGAAATGAGATGTGGGGAGGAAATTCTTCCCCCTGAGGGTGGTGAGAGCCTGGCCCAGGTTGCCCCGAGAAGCTGTGGCTGCCCCATCCCTGGAGGGGTTGAAGGGCAGGTTGGAGGGGGCTTGGAGCAAGCTGGGCTGGTGGGAGGTGTCCCTGCCCAAGGTAGGAGGGTTGGAACTTGATGATCTTTAAGGTCCTTTCCAACCTGAACCATTCTGTGAAATTAATTAGCCCAGGAAAATCTTTGCTCTTCAAGTATTTGCTTTGAGCCCTCAATATAAGAAGGACATGGACCTGATGGAGAGGGTCCAGAGGAGGGCCACGAGGATGATCAGGGGGATGGAGCACCTCTGCTCTGAGGACAGGCTGAGGGAGCTGGGGTTGTTCAGCCTGGAGAAGAGGAGGCTCCGGGGAGACCTTATAGCGGCCTTCCAGTACCTGAAGGGGCTGGACAACTCTATGATTCTATGATTTTCACAGCATCTCCTGCAGCTCACACAAAGAACGGGGTGGTCTCTGCTTGGGGAGGGGGGGGTTACAACCTGCCTTCTCTGCCTCCTGCTCAACCCTGGGTTTTTTTCTCTCGCCCCCACAGGTGGCTCCTTCAGCGAGGAGACGGAACAGAAGTTCGATCACTTCAGTGGACTCACAAATAACAGGGTGTCCACCCGATAGACCCCCCCCCCCCACTATTTAAAGAAGCGAGGGTTCCCGCTTCGCTGATTTCCCAAACCACTGCACAAACCCCCCAAAGAAATCAAGTAAACAAATCAAAACTCTAAATTAGCAAGGTAAATTATTTTCTAAAGCTGCCTTCCTTCCCAGTTTAGGTGCTCCGACCACCACCTGGCTCCTGTAACTCCAGTCCCTACTGCTGGGGAGTTAAGAGCCACCTTTGAAACTCTACTTGGCTCCGTATTTTCACCTTTCCAACCTTCTCCACAAAGATTTCTCCTTCCACTTTGCAGCACCGGCTTTATCCCCAGGCTGCAGCAAGCACAATTTGCCTCTGTTTGGGTCCCGACAGCCTAAATATGTCTTTACCATTCCATTTTCTTCATCATAAGGCATTAATCTTTGGTATCTTTAAGCTCTTTGACTCAAGCTCGAACGCACCGTTGATGCAAACGCCTCCATTTGTGACGCTCTTCCTCAGAACCGCCGTGTCCTTACTCCGTTTTAGCCAAGAAATACAGGAAAAGGGAAGGGGGTGGGGGGAAAGGGAAGGGAGAAAAAAAATTGGAGCAGCTTTTTCTGAGCAGAACAGTATAAAGCGTTAATTTAATACCGCAGCAAAACTCTTGTACTCAACCATCGCCTCCCGAGAGGAGCAGCTGACGCAGGACTGAGTTCTCCGAGGGCACGGGGGCTCCAGGAAGCTCCACCACCCTTGGAACAATGGAGAACTTTGGAGATGGAGAACTTCTTGGAGATGGAGGAGAAGAACTTACTTTGGAGATGGAGGAGAAGAAGAACTTCTTGAAGATCGAGGAGAAGAACTTACTTTGGAGATGATGGAGAAGAAGAACTTACTTTGGATTTCAACCATCGCCTCCCGAGCGGAGCAGCTGACACAGGACTGAGTTCTCTGAGGGCATCGGGGCTCCAGGAAGCTCCACCACCCTTGGAACAACGGAGAACTTTGGAGATGGAGAACTTCTTGGAGATGGAGGAGAAGAACTTACTTTGGAGATGGAGGAGAAGAAGAACTTCTTGAAGATCGAGGAGAAGAACTTACTTTGGAGATGATGGAGAAGAAGAACTTACTTTGGAGATGATGGAGAAGAAGAACTTCTTGGAGATGGAGGAGAAGAACTTACTTTGGAGATGATGGAGGAGAAGAACTTCTTGGAGATGATGGAGAAGAAGAACTTCTTGGAGATGATGGAGAAGAAGAACTTCTTGGAGATGATGGAGAAGAAGAACTTCTTGGAGATGATGGAGAAGAAGAACTTCTTGGAGATGATGGAGAAGAAGAACTTCTTGGAGATGATGGAGAAGAAGAACTTCTTGGAGATGATGGAGAAGAAGAACTTCTTGGAGATGATGGAGAAGAAGAACTTCTTGGAGATGATGGAGAAGAAGAACTTCTTGGAGATGATGGAGAAGAAGAACTTCTTGGAGATGATGGAGGAGGAGAACTTTCTGGAGATGATGGAGAAGAACTTTGGAGCTCTCCTGCTGCCATGAATTCCCGTTCCACAGTAAGCTACTCACCCACCAGATTCTACCCAAATATTACCTGGAAATTCACTCTTGTCTCTTCTTGCGAGGATGAATTTAGTTTAAGGCATTGGATCACTGAACCTTCCAGAGGTAACATCATGGCTTTCATCATCAGGGACCTGGAGCTGTGCTCACACAGCCCCACCTGTGTAAGCTCTCTTTAAAAGGATTGATATTATTATTTTTTTTTTAAGAGAACTTTCTGGAGATGATGGAGAAGAACTTTGGAGCTCTCCTGCTGCCATGAATTCCCGTTCCACAGTAAGCTACTCACCCACCAGATTCTACCCAAATATTACCTGGAAATTCACTCTTGTCTCTTCTTGCGAGGATGAATTTAGTTTAAGGCATTGGATCACTGAACCTTCCAGAGGTAACATCATGGCTTTCATCATCAGGGACCTGGAGCTGTGCTCACACAGCCCCACCTGTGTAAGCTCTCTTTAAAAGGATTGATATTATTATTTTTTTTTTAATGCTTGGTAAATTCCTCATGGTGCTGAGCACGTTCCTCTGTTTGTTTGAGGACGCGCATCCTACAGATTTTCACACACAGCTACTTGAATAAAAATGTTTTACCCAGGAAAAAAAAAAACCAAAAAAAAAGGTTTTAGATGCCATTTGTGTATTTTTCTACTCCCTCAAAAGTTTTCCCAATTCCTGAAGTTGTTTTTCTCCCTCTGTGTTTGTACAGAAAACTTCTACGAGCCATTAATAATAATAATGTTAATACTTAGAGCTGCCCATTTCGATCCGAGGAGGGATTGAAAGTGGCTGCCTCCAACCTGTGCTCCCCAAAACCTACCTCACAGGGGTGTTGTGAGGCTGAAAGAACCCCCGAGGGCATTTCTGGCCTTTACCCCGTGGCCTGGATGGTGGCATCGAGCAAAGGTTTGGGTTTTTTTAGCCTCTTGGAAGTTGGAAAACTCATTTTGTTCTCAGGATGCTGGACTCGGGGGGGACAAAAGCAGAGTCTGAGCCACCTCGGATGCTCCTGCCCCAACCAGGTGTTTGAAACTCCTGGAATCACAACCAACAAGTCCTGGATTTTCTTTCCCCAATCTTCCCCTTGCTGCCAGCACGACAGAGCCAGTCAGGCTCTTTGAACACAGCTTAAATAAGGAAAAAAACCCTAAAATTCACTTGCGTTCAGTGCTGGTGGGATATTTTAACAATAACATTACAACAAAGTAAACATTGAACAGATGATTATTATTAATTTTTTTGACTCCTCTTGCTTAGAGCTGGATTTTGGCCAAGGGGATACAATTCCCTTACTCTAATTTTTTCTTTTTTTTTAAATTATAGAGCAGGCTTTTCCCTGCTTTAATGTAATGGAGGCTTTGAAATAAAGCAGGGGAGGATGCTCTGTGGCATGAAGAACCTCCTCCCATCATAAACTCTTCCCCTTCCCACCTTTAGAAAGAAAAGATGGTCCCAATCCCGAAGAGAACATCCCTTTGGCAACTCACTGTTCTGCATGCAGTTTAATTTCACAGCCCGTGCTCATTTATACAGTGGGGATTATTATTATTTTTTTTTTTTTTTTCCAGCTGAGATGGTTTATTCCTCCTGCTCCAAGGTTTCTGGCAGCAGCTCTTCGGTGCCCGAGGGGTCCTGCTGCTTGTGCTTCAGCCCCAAAGCCCTGGTCACCAGCCTCTTCGCCACCACAGTGTCAGTCTGGGGCCTTTCTTTGGCCAGGTGAAGGAGTTCTAGGTAAAAATGGGTGAAAAAAATCACAGTTAGGTGCTCGTTGAGGAACAGTCTCGTGGCTAAACCCTAAGACTGGCAGAGAAAAGGGCTGATTTTCATTTTCTTAGTTCTTTTTTTTCTTAGTTCTTTCACAGAATTAGCCCAGCAAGAGCAAATCCTTCTCTCCCCATCCAATAAATTGCCTTTTCTTTTAGGCAGATGTGTTTGTATTTAACATTTTTCAAAAGCCATTGGGCTGGGATTAAGCTCCAGGCCCCTTCTGCAGCGCTGGAGAGAGAACTCTTTCCCTTTTTACTTTCAGGAAGAGCTTCCCCCAACCTGTTTCTGGCCAAATTCAGCAAGTCCCATCTGAGAACAAAATGAAGGCACCACTAAGTCCAAATATTTCTCCACACACAGCAAAGATTGATCTTAATACAGACTAATCAAACCCAGCCATTCAAATCCTTAGAAAGCAACAAGGAAAAAAAAAAACCTGCATTTTTTTTAAAGAGAAACAGCTAAAAATCTATGAGATGCTTTGGGAAAGCCCTTTGGGCAATAAATCCCATTTTCTGGTCGACACCTGGCTCATCACAGCTTCATTTTACAAGAAATAAATACACCCAAAACTTTACCAAGTCTACAATAATCTGGATTTAGGTATTATCTAATCATTTTATCCTATCAGCAACTGTCTGCAAATTCATTATCCGGTTCGCAAGGGGGGCTTGGCTTTGCTTTTTTTTCCAGAAGTTTTATTAATAAAAGGCAGCCCCTGAGCAGCTTGAAGAAAAAAGGGGCAGAGTCGAAGCATCTTTTCCAGCTTGGAAAAGAAACTGCCGCTCGCTCTTGACAAAAATAGTTAAAAAAATAAATTAAAAAAAAAAAAAGAGACACTGTCAGCTAATTAAGGTCCCGATTTGTATTTGGGAAAAAAAAAAAATTGAATACAAATTGAGTTTATAGATGATGTTCCCCAGAAGGAGTTTATAACCTGATTCAGAAGCAACAAGAATCAGGATGAGAACAGAGGAGGCACAAAGTGCAAAATCAAACCCCTTATTTTTTTCGGACATTTCGTTTAAATGCATCAATCTTAAAAACCTCAGGAATTTCTACCTGTGACAGTGTCCCTTTAAAGCATCAACAGTGACATTTGTTTCCACTGCCATGTGCTGGAGAAATAACAGAGGAGCTGTAGGTTCAGCAAAGTCTCTTATCGCTACGAGATTCACGGCATTTCGGTCCTGGGGCAAGGAGAACTGATCACACTATGATTTTTAAAAAGGCAATGAAATAAATAAATAAACCAATGTTAATGGCTAAGCTTACCGATTTCTTCCTTCACCTGATACTGAATAAAATTATGCCAACCACAAAACCTAAATGTTGCTGGGTTTGTCTCATCTATTATCTTTAAGTGGGCAGAATAAAAGGGGAGAGGAACTTTTTGGGCAGGTTCAGGGTGTTTTCCCCTCCTGCAATCACTGCTCTGGTCAAACCCCTCTGCTGGGAAATGCAACTGGTCGTGAATAATACAAGAAAACTAAGCCTGAACATCAGCAAAGGACTTAATTTGAAAGAAAACCAAAAGGCAACAGGGTTTGATGCATTTTTTTACTCCGTCCTCCTATGGAAGGGAGAAAGAGTGACTGAAAACTGAAGCGTAGGTAACAGCTGGGGTGTAAATATATAGAAATTGTGTATATTCTAGGCTCCTCCCATAAATTTGGCATCGCCTTCACCTCTGCCAACCACTCACTGCTGCAAACAGGCAGAAACCAGCACCACCCGGGCAGGAATTTGTAACAAGTTGGCTGAAAATCTTGTAAATAAAAAAATAACGCAATTACCAAAAACGCTGCACAACAGCTCCCTGTCCTCCAATGCCAATAAAGCTGTAAAAACCCAAAACAACCAAAAAATATATATTTCCCCATTTAACTTGTCAGGAGATAGAAGACTGGTAAATCAAGAAATAAAGCTAGTAATAATTAAAAAAGAGATTGTCTTACTTGGTCGCTGAAATGCCTTGGTCTTGGACTGCTTTGTTGCGTGGATCAGTGGTCGGATCTTTAACGAAGGGTAACGTCGCCCCAGGGCCTGAGATGCTGCAAAGAACAAAGATTGCTGGAATTAGCAGACCCGAATTTTGGTGGCTTTAACAATAAAAACCAGCCCATGGTACAGTGACAGCGAGGAATTCGAGCTTCGGCTCAAATATCTCCAGAATAAAACACTAAACTCCTCCTGGTCGGCTCACATCACGCGTTCCTGGTGTGGGAAGAGTCCCAGGAAAATATAAATGTGTTTTAAAAAGACTAAATTCCAAGAAAAAAGCATAATCTTTTGGTCTACACACACTGCTGGATGGAAAGGGCTGGCTCTGACCCAAAATGGGGGTGTTTCCCCCCCCGAGAAGGTCAGTTCACCAGGAGGCTCCATCTCTGACCACCCAGAAGGTCCCCAACAGGTTATTACTGTAGGTTTGCAGGAATGGAGGATGGAGGAGGAACCCCAGGGGGTCCCTCAGTCCCACCAAGGGAGTCACTGGTACCTGCGGAGGGGCTGGAGAAGATCCCCAGGGCGTGGGTATCGTCCACCCACTGGATCTCGAACCCGCTCTCGCTAAAATGAAAAGAAAACAGAATAATACTCATTAATACGACAGACAAAAAGCCCCCACCACACCACAAAACCCATCACCCCACCAGGATTATTCAGTGTTTTTACCCAAACAGCTTGTGCTTTTCAACTACCCATTTTACACAAGGGGGAAGGAGGAAAGGAAGGCACAGAAGAACATTAAATGTGCCCCTTTCACGGCCACAATCTACAATTCCCCCCCCAGAACTCTCCTTTTCCTCTGAAGAAACCCCTGGCCAAACCCAACCTCAATTTCAGGGACTTTCTTGTAACAGAAAAACATCACTTGTCATTTCTGCTTTATACAAACACTGCCCCATCCCTCAGGCACCAACAACGAAAAGCAGGTGGTTTATAGAAGCGGTTTTACAGAGCCCGGGGTGAGGAGAGAGATGGGAAAAATCTAATAAAGCATCAGTGGAAAAATGTGGGTTTGGGAGCGGGGAGTTCAAAGGATTTTCCTGGAGCAGAGGAGATAAAAATCCAATCGACTGCTCCCATCGGATCCATCAGCCTCCGGCTCGGTTTCGCTCTCCCAGGCAGTGGAAAAACACAGGGGAGGGAACAGAGACAACAGAGAGCAGAGTATTTACACAGGGTCACACGGGGTTGGAAGGGACCTCTGGAGATCACCCAGTCCCACCCCCTGCCAGAGCAGGGCCACCCAGAGCAGGTCCCACAGGAACGTGTCCAAGTGGGTTTTGAATGTCTCCAGAGAAGGAGATCCCACCTCCTCTCTGGGCAGCCTCTGCCAGGGCTCTGCCACCCTCACAGCAAAGAAGTTCCTCCTCATCTTTAGGTGGAACTTCCCATGTTCAAGTTTGTGCCCATTCCCTCTTGTCCTGTCCCTGGGCACCACTGAAAAAAGACCAGCCCCATCCTCCTGACACCCACCCTTTCAGTATTTAGAGGTGTTGATCAGATCCCCCCTCAGCCTTCTCTTCTCCACACTCAAAAGCCCCAAGTCCCTCAGCCTTTCCTCGGAAGGGAGATGCTCCAGGCCCCTCCTCATCTCTGGAGCCTCTGCTGTCCCCTCTCCAGCAGTTCCCTGTCCTTGTGGAACTGGGGAGCCCAGAACTGGTCCCAGTGCTCCAGCTGGGGCCTCCTCAGGGCAGAGCAGAGGGGCAGGATGACCTCCCTCCACCTGCTGCTCACACTCTTCCTGATGCCCCCCAGGATGCCCTTGACCTTCTTGTCCACCAAGGCCCATTGCTGGCTCATGGGCATCCTGTTGTCCACCAGGACCCCCAGGTCTTTCTCCTCAGAGCTGCTCTCCAGCAGGTTTAATTTCATTTTAATGTAGAGGTGAAGCATTCTCATCTAATCCCCGGGAATAGGAGGAGGAGGATGATGATGGTGGGAGGGAAAGAGGAAGAGGTGCCATGGACACGGTGATGGGGTTTAATTTCATTTTAACGTAGAGGTGAAACGTTCCCATCTAATCCCCAGGAATAGGAGGAGGAGGAAGAGGAGGAGGATGGTGGGAAGGAAAGAGGAAGAGGTGCCATGGACACGGTGTGGGAAGGACCCAGTGGGAGCCGCGCCGAGCACCGTTTATCGCTAACGAAGGGCTGAACTTTGTCCCGTCCCCGTTCCTCACCCAACGTCACTCCCTCAGCCACAAGGCTCCCTTCCCAATATTTACATAATAAATCTTATCTCCAGCAGCAGGATCGAGCCCCGTTTTCCTGCAAAGATTTATACAAGTGGGTGATTTCAGGGCTGTAATTTCAGCGGGGCGCAGTAACGAAGCAGCTGGTGGGGAGCTCCTAAAGGTTCTCCCCAAAGCCAGAGGAGCAGGAACGAACCCCCACCTCGATACCCGAGTGTGTGACCAAGCCCCCAAGAACCTGGGGTGTTTTAAATCACACAGGAAAAGCGTCCCTCAAGGCACAGAAAATATTCCAAAATCAAAATCCACCAGATCGAGCCGGGGGTTGAGGTGTTGGACACGTCACCCCCGTGACGTGCTCAGGCTCTGGGAGGTACTCACTGGAAATCCACGAAGGCTTCCATCAGGTTCTCCGTTTTCAGGGATGGGGAGAAGTCATAGATTTCAGTCACGTGGCCAAAATCCCCCTCGCTGAGCGGCGCCTCCCCGTAGCTGGAATAATCCACGCTGATCTTCTCGATGCTGATGTCCTTCACGGTTAAATGACCCACAATCTGAGAATATTTAAAAAAAAAAGGATTAAAAAATGATAGTAGCAATCAGACAAGGTTTCCCTTCAAAGAGCAACCCTCCAGGACTCCACCTCGGTCTCTGAGAACCACTTCTGTGGCCACAACGGGTTTGGCAGCCCCAGGACAAGGACTCTCCTCCCAGGATTAATGCTTTCCCCTCGGGCCAACTCCTTTTGTCCCCAAAGTTGCTCCCCAGGGCAAAATCCAGGGCAAAAACCCTACCTCTGCCAGGAGCTCTGCCGTACAGTCCTCCTCCAGGCTGCTCTGCTCACGGACAGCCATGTTCTCCTCCTTATGGCCTGTGGACAAGTGACCCTCCAGGACTCCACCTCGGTCTCTGAGAACCACTTCTGTGGCCACAACAGGTTCAGCAGCCCCAGGACAAGGACTCTCCTCCCAGGATTAATGCTTTCCCCTCAGGCCAACTCCTCTTTTCCCCAAAGTTGCTCCCCAGGGCAAAATCCACAGCAAAAACCCTACCTCTGCCAGGAGCTCCACCGTACAGTCCTCCTCCAGGCTGCTCTGCTCACGGACAGCCATGTTCTCCTCCTTATGGCCTGTGGACAAGTGAAGATCTCGCCTCAGGGCATCAGCCAAGCCCGAATGTTCCTTCTCCTCCTCCTCCTCTTCTTCCCCAGGCACCTTCCCGTGGGGGTTCTGCCCGGGAGCACCCACCCAGCGCTCACTCTGGTCCTCAGGAGGTGATGGGTGGGCACCACTGATGGGCTCAGGTACGACTGGAGGCTCATTTGGGGCTTCTTGGAGGTTCTGGTGATGCTCCACCTGGACAACGCTGGGATGCTCTTCATCTTGGCTTTCCAGTTGGGAGAAACCCTGGCCTCCCTCCGCCGTGCCGGCGTTCACAAAGTCCTCACCCCGTTCTTGAGGTGGTGACACGTTTCCATGGCTCTTATCTTGGTTTTCCACCACCACCGACGTGCTCAACTCCGGGCAGCAGTTACTGCTGCCACGTTCCGATAGGGAGGAGGTTTTGCCAGTATCCCAGCTGGTTTGGTCTTCCCCTCGCAGCTGGCACGGGGTTTCACTGCTTTCTGGTGCCAGAGCACCACAGCTCTCATCTTGTTCTTCTGCTTCAGGTGGGTTTTTGTTGTGTGCAGAAGATAAGGAAACTGAACAGTCTTTATCCCGACTTTCCTGCCCAGGGGAATCCTTCCTGTTCTCCGACGAGGGGCACGGAGGACGTTCATCGTTTGTGCCATCCTTATTTTTACCCGAAACCCACTCTTCTCCAGGCTCCTCTCGCTTGCCAAGGGCCACGGAGACATCACCTGGGCCACCTTCAGAGCCACCCAGCTCCTCCTGGGCATCCTCGGCTGAAGCTTTAGGGCAGATCTCTCCTCCTTGTGCCACGTCCCCACCTGACTCAGTGATGGCCACCACCCGGTTCTCCTGCTCCCCCCAGTCCGTCTTCTTGCGCATGGCCTTGGGGACGTAGAGGGCTTTGTCTGGTTTCCTCCAGGGGGGCCTTTTGATCCTTCCAGACCCCACGCAGGCTCGGGAGTTGTCACCACCGTGCGCCTCCCCGCCATGTCGCGGCCTGCCCCCTCGGCCCCCCCGACCCCAGGGCTGGGGAGGTCGGTGGGGTCTGGGTGGGTTGTTGCTGGGTTTTTGGTCGTTGGTCTCACTGGGCAGCCTGGGATGGAGAGAATGGCATGGTGTGAGAAGAGGAACCCACATAACGTGAGAGGAGATCATGGAGATGCTGGGAGGGCTGCGGGGAGAAGAGGAACCCATGTACCATGAGAGGAGATCACGGAGATGCTGGGAGGGCTGGAGCCCCTCTGCTGGGAGGGGGGGCTGAGAGAGTTGGGGGGTTCAGCCTGGAGAACAGAAGGCTCCATGAAGACCTCAGAGCCCCTTCCAGTCCCTCAAGGGGCTCCAGGAGAGATGGGGAGGGACTCTGGCTGAGGGAGGGGAGCCCCAGGAGGAGGGGGAAGGGTTTGACCCTGAAAGAGGGGAGATGGAGCTGAGATGTGGGGAAGAACTGAGATGTGCTCCTGCTTGTGGTGCTGCTGGAGCTGATGTTTGGGATGGGACCAGGCTGGCAGGAGATGGGGTGATCCCTGGGTGCTGCAGCACAGTGGGGGGGGGCTCTGTGGGCTGCTGCCAGGTCTGGGGGACTTCTTACAAGGGCAGGTAGTGACAGGATGAGGGGTGATGGCTTCAACGAAGAGGGGAGATTGAGATATTGGGAAAAAACTCTTTGGTGGGAGGGTGGTGAGAGCCTGGCCCAGGTTGCCCCGAAGAAGCTGTGGCTGCCCCATCCCTGGAGGGGTTCAAGGGCAGGTTGGAGGGGGCTTGGAGCAACCTGGGCTGGTGGGAGGTGTCCCAGGGACTGGATGGTCTTGAAGGTCCCTTCCAACCCAAACCATTCTATGATTCTACAAACATACGTTTGTAAGAGAGAGAGGAGGAAAAGCATCAAATCCATGTAGATGGGAGGAAAAGAAAAGAGTCTCTACCTCCTTAATAATTGGATAATATCAACAACAGACACGCTCCTCTTTGTGGAGAAGCACCACGCAAACTTCAGGCTCATGAGCTTGAACAAAAACCCCGTGGCCACGGGGAGAGAAGCCCCGTGACAGGTACCACCCCCTACCTCACGGCCGAGTGACAAATGACCGTCCTCCTCCTCCATCCTTCTCCCACAGAAAAGCTGCTCAACAAATCCACGTTGTCCACGGTGCGGTGGATGAGGTACCGGAGGCGACTGGACAGAGGGGGGAAGAGGAGCACCCTGAAAAGAGAAAATTGGTTCATTGGGGGTCAGCAACGGGCAGGAAGGAAAAGGACAGGACCTGAGTGAGGATGTATTAAAGCCTCTTCCCCAAATCATTCCCAGTGTAGGGTTTAAATCCCAGCCCGAAAGCCAGGCAGGATTTTGTGGAATGAAGGAACCAAGATCCCTCCTCCATCACACCCAGACATGCTCGATTCCCTCGTAGCCCCGGGAGCAGCTGGGACTGACTGGTCCCAGAACTCTCATTCCTCCCAGTATCCGTGCTGGGAAGGGCTGGGAATCAGCAGCAGAGGGCTGTTAGGGGTCCCCTTCCTCCCAGTCCGAGCGTGCTCCACAAACCAGCCACTAAAAGAACGTGAATGGATGAATAAATGCCACAATTCATTACGTTTAGACACATTTTTACAATTCTAGTTTCCTTCCTAAGCATTTGACAATGGCACCGGGACTTTCTCTGCCAAACCTTAAAAAAAAAAAAGCAATGAAACAAATATTTAAGGTCCTTACAAGCCGGCAGGAAGCTGAACTCAGCAATCCCACCCTTGCTCCTGGCTGACACCTGCTTTTTTGGCCACCTCAAGGGCTTCAAAGGTCACCAGACCAGGGACTGGGTCCAGTTAAATCCAGCCTGGCTGAAGAAAAGCCCCGCAGCATTCTGAGGTGACGGAGATCGCTGCCCTGGAGGAGGATCTGACACAGGAAATGCTCAGCAGAGAGGGGAAACGGAAGAGTTTGATGATGAAACTGCTCATTCTAACTCATCGGGCTGGCTAGTGGGGCTGAGAAGGGGCCAGGGGCCAGTGGGGGCTGAGTGGTGGCTAGTGGGGCTGAGCGGTGGCCACTTGGGGCTCACCAGTGCCCCAAACAGCTCTGCTGAAGCAATTACGAGTGGAAAAATGGGCACAGCAGAAACCAACCCAGCATTTTCCACCCAAATCGAAGCAGAGAAGCATCACAAGGTGCCACCACTCCCGGAGCGACACGTGCCACCACCCAGGGGACTTTGTCCACCAGCGGGGAGAAGGTGACCCCAGGAGAAGACCCCCTGCCCACCTGTGGTGCTGCCCCTCCTGCATGAAGTGCTCCAGCTCCTCCGTGATCCTCCCCACGAACTCATCCTCGTTGGGCGAGAGGAAGACGCCGTCCATGCAGCGCAGCGCCAGGGTGGCAGCGAGGGGGAGGCCTGGGGAGGGGACAGGGGACACATGGAGAGCTGGCTGCAAGGTCCCCTGGCCCTTGGGGAGGGGACAGCACCCCTATGAACCTGCTCCTAGCACCCAAAACCCGGCCTCAGCACCCAAAACCTGGCCCCAGCACCCCCTGTGCAGCTGAATGCAGCCAGCTTCACCCCATCCCTCTCCCTCTGCACCCCTCAACACCCCTATGCACCCCATTACCCCCTTCCCTCTGCCCCCCCAGCACCCTATGGGGCTCTGGGCACCCCTGAACTGCCCCATGCACCCCCTTACCCCCTTCTCTCTGCACCCCCAGCACCCTGTGGGGCTCTGGGCACCCCTCGACTGCCCTCTGCACCCCATTCCCCCCTTCCCTCTGCACCCCTCGACTGCCCTATGCACCCCATCACCCACTTCCCTCTGTACCCCCAGCACCCTATATTGCTCTGTGCACCCCTCAACTGCCCTATGCACCCT